TTATAAATCTATCGTATTTGTCACGCCATTAAGTTCAATTTGTACAATAATAAGATCTGACAGTGTTTAATAATAAATCACAACATGAACACTAAGCATTGTTTTGTGTAAAATAATAACTAATTGTAAATACAAAAAAACACTTTAAGTTGTGGTAACATGAATTGACCTAAGTTAAGTAAACCGAAAATATCTAATATGAGAACATTACTACATGAATTTAAATAAGTGTTAGGTAATTATAATTTATATATTAAAATTACTAAATTTTGTATTACTAAACCTCAGCATAATAAGTAAATAATAAAATTTTAATTTGAACCATTACTAATCTGCTTCAACACCAAAAAAAAAAAAGAAGTAGCTAAGTTCTAAAAATGTGAGAAAACATAAATTCCTATTTTTAATAAAGTTCGTTCAACTAAAATGAATTGTTTAATTTCTTACTCGAATTTATTCATCGGCCGTCATTGAATAAACAAGACGTTACGCTTAACGGGGCTAACAACACAGTGTGAATATTATAAATCTATTTTTAGTGGTATTAATAAATTATAAAACCCGGAAAAATAAATATGTACTATCATAAGCAAAATCATCTAATACATCATTGGTATTAACGATAAAACAATAACTGAACCACATAAAACAATCCATAACATACATTCAACATTTTAAAAATTTTCCTCCAAAGCGTCCAAGTTGATAGTATCAATAAATTACTACTTAATGCCATAAAGTTTTAAAACCTTTATATATCATTTCTGAAATCTCAAAACAGATTCATTCCTTTATGTTATACGCGAGTGGAAATAAAAATGCGTTTGCAACTTTAATTTTCATTTCGAAAGACAACCTCTAAAGGGTGTGATATGTATATATATATATGTATATATATATGCTGATGTGTGTCTTTAGAGTACTTACCTTACTCTAATGTCATTCCTCTCGAATCGAACGCTTTGTGTTCCACTTCAAATGAGCTTCCCACAAACGGTTCAGGCATCGTTACGTGGTGTAAAACTACACTCTTATTATGTAAATGCGAATTTCCCTTTTGGTATTATGTTGTTACATTTAATAATTGAGTAGATAACACCCGAAGCAACGCGTACCTTAAACTTATAATGATCCATTTAAGTATGTTTAATTAAAAAGTTGTTACACAATATTATTGCGGTCAACAATTTAAATCGACCGGTGATAAAAAAAAACAACTTTCCAACTATTATTCACATTGTGAAAACATTTTACCATTGAATCTCAGGTCATATTTTTTAAAAATCCTATTTGTAGATAGTATTTCCGCCGAAACTCATACCAGATAATGCAGACGATGGCAGCTTTCCAACTACAGTAAAGTCATACCGCTTGACTAAAATGTCAAAACTGGTGAAAATATATAATACAAATCCATAAATGCATAATGTTATCGTTTGTATGGCTTTCATGTTATACAATATGTGGACCACAAAAGAAAAATAAGTTTTACCGGAGAGAAAATTCTAACATACAAAATAAATGTTTTTTTTTTAATATATACAATATGGTAACACCTGATTTGTTTAATGATATACTAAAATTTTGAAAAAAATAACCTATGTAAAACAATTAAAATTTGTATCAAACAATAATAGTTTAAAATTTTTGAACTTTAAAACAAATAATTTTTTTTTTTCAATTAGATACGGTTTTTTAGAATCAGAAAACTATTCGAAATGTGTTCAATTTAAAAAAAAGATTCTTAAAGCTAAAGTACGACGCTTAAAAATCCTTCTTTTATATTTAGTAATAACAATTTGTTTAGCTAGTTATCATTTTTATCAGTTTCATTGGGCTGTAACTTGATAAGAATAATTTTTATCGTAAACTATCAAGAGAGTAATCCTTATCAATTATACTTCAGCTTATATAATATATTTTCTTTAATTGTAAAAATATTTATTAATTTTCAAATAATACTATTATAAATTAATGATTGCAATTATTTATCGTAAATTATATCTTAAATTAGATTAAAATTTGACTAACACTGCAACTCGCTTAATACGTGACATTTTTTTAATGGAGAAATGTTTTATGTTTTTATAAAATTTTGCAATTCTTATAATTTTTATTTAAACAGAAAACATTTGATTATTTTTTCCGAATAATGCAAGTTTTGGTTTTAAGAAAATTAATTTCACAATGAACTTAAAAATACCTAAATAGGTTAGGTTACGTACTCAAATTCTTTTAAACCTAAATTTACATTATTACAAAAAAAATAAAATGTTTTCTGTTTTAATAAAAATTATAAGAATTGCAAAATTTTGTAAAATTGTAAAATATTTCTCCATTAAAAATATGTCATTTTATTTTTAATAAAATAATACGCCGTGTATATAATTTAAAATATATGAATAGTAAATGTTGGAACTCTGCAAAAACGTAAAATAATTTTCTACCTTAGTTATTTGTTTATATTTAACAATTTTGTAAAAACTAAAACTATAACCGCTAACACTATATACACATAATTTAAATCGCAATTTTATGATTTAATAAGAAATATGCAAAATAAGTTAACCCATATTAAATATAATTTTTTTTAGTCTTTTATAAAATAAATAATGGATAATTTAAATATATGATTACCTTATATGTTTAGTTATTTTTAAACTGTTTACTAAAAACTGGCGAATTCAAATTATACAGCAAACTGCTGAAAGTCTGTAGCTATTAACTATTCTTAAATAAAAAATGTCACCGGTTCACTTTATGTCGACCCTCGTAATACTCTTAAAATAAACTTAAATTATTCAATGTCTGTCTTGAAGATTTAAAAATCAGATTTGATGTAATATCAAGACAATTACAGTTCTCTGAAGATTGCCATAAACTCTACTATATATTTGATTGGTTAGGTTCGTGAATATTTAGATCTATTTGCTTTTGTTGAAATTTTACGACCGAATCGAACAATCATATTCTAAAAACTACTTTTATAAACAATACACTTCGTCTTCAAAATAGTCTCTATTAAAAATATAGTAAAATATTATCCATTATATTATTATGATTTGAAAAACAACGTAATATCAGTCGAACAAATTGTTATAATAAATAAACAAATAAAATATAAATGTGTAATCTGGTTAAAAGTTGCGATTTGGTTAAAAATACAATTTTAATTTGTATTTAAGCCCGAAATGTAATTTTGGTAAAGTTTAGTAAAATTAATACCTTATAATCTAAAAAAAAAAATGGATTTTAGGACCTATAAGTCGATTATTAATATTTATAATATCAAAACAGAAATAAAAAAAATTATCGCTTGTTAAAAAATACATTTATTTTTCGTAGTCTGATAGACTAAAGATTATAGAAAAACCATATTATCTATTTTTTACTATAAAATTAAAAGTATGTTGAGTTGAAACAGTTTAATTAGAAACCCAATTTAAAGGTAAACAATAAAAAAATACAAAATTAAGTTTTTTTTTTTTTAGTCTATTAACAATATGTCGATTGTTGGGTATGGTAACTACTTTTTTTAAGTTTTACACTGTAAAATTATTTTTCTTACCCAAACATATTATTATGTTTTTAACTCTACGTGTCTAATTGTGTTGCTGTAAGAATAAATAATTGAAAAAATCAATAATATTTAAGTTTAAAAATCCTACTTACCTGATTTTTTGAGAATAAGAAACAGCCTCTGGCATAAGAAATGCCTAATAAATTATTAAATAATTTATGTAAATTCTAAAGGGTATAGAAAGTGCAACAGTGTAAACCTATCCCTTGGATTTTAGGTGCTTTAATACAGTATATAAAAATGTTTTTGTTTGATAGTGATCGTTCTCAAATGTACCTTTAAATTATTGGTTGCTCCAATTCTCCAACCATTCCATAAGTATTTTGTTATAGATGTATGATAAACCTACTTAAAAGCTAACTTCCACTTTAAATGTTTACCCAAAAATTGTAACGCGATAAAAATGATCACCAAAAAAACTTCTTGTTCGTATTATTGAATATTTTAAAAGGATTTAAAATAATCGAAAACCATAATAATTTGGCAAGGGGCTTGCTGGTAACTTCATGAGTGCCAATCAAAATGTTGACACTCGTTTTGATCATTGTTCCAACAAGTTAAAGCCAAAACGAGTAAAAGTTGGAACTTCCATTCCTGTACTTTAATGGGTCATTTTTATTGAAGTTTAAGATTAGAGAAATAATCTTAGTTATCCGAGTTACCATGTTATTAAAGGTACGAGTAGGACTTCTGATTAATGACGAGACTCTTCAGACATGAGTTAATAATCAAATAATAAGAAATGTACTACATGTTACTTTAAATAGAACGAGATGTTTTTAAAGTTCAAGGAATCGTGTAACAAAGTTCTTGGATCACGATTTCTTCCTATTATGTTACACAAAAAAGGAGAAAAATAATGTTTGTCGTCGTATTTCAGATATATTATAATACAAATGAATACTATACATTGATACAAATGAATAAAAAGTACCAAAGGGATGCGATTCAAATTTCATCTTTTTGACCTTGAATGGTGTTGATAAAAGAAAATTATAGTTAAATTTTCTAGCGTATAAATTTAAATACACAGAATGTGTTTTATTAAAAGATAATTATTATTATGATGATATCAGGTTTATAAGTAAGGTTTATTATTGCAATAAGACCATTGTATACTTATTAAAATTATAATTCAACTAGATTGTTTGTAAAATAATACCATATAAGTGCAGTGATCTAGCAAACGATTTTGTGATATACGGATTTGTACTACACTTCTTAAAAGTATGATGCAATTTGTTTAAACAATTTTTATTTAAGTTGTTACTATTTGAAAAAATTTGAATCAATTTAAAGTAAAATTGGTATAAAAGTAGACTGGGAAAAAAATTAAAATATTTTAAAAAAAAAACGTTATTTATCAAACTTATCATACACTCACTTTAACAACAAACCCCAAAAATATTGTAAAAATACATCACTGGGAAAACATTTTTAATACAACAAACACTTTTTTCATTAAATTTTCAAGAAAAACAGCTAAAATAATGTACAAATTTATAGAAAAATATATCAAGCAAAATAAATTAAATATAGACAAATATATGTTTTATCCAACTTAAAAATCTCTTAGTTTGAGTAATGAACCAAGTAGTTTGTATACGTTATCTGTTGAATGGCGAACGGTAGTGTTTTGCTTTTCAGAGTTTTTTATGTTTTTGGGCGTTCAGCTCTTTTTTGCAGCATCTACTAGTTTAGTTTATTTTAATTAAATTTAATGATATGTCAGGGTATATAACTTTAAATATTAGCTTATGATGCATATATGCATAGATAACACTTGTGGTAAATGACGGTATGTAAAAAGTAACTACTGTTTAATTTTTTGCTTGATCTACTTTTCTATCAATTTTTATGTTATTTTGTAGATTTTTTATAAAAAAAAGTGAATCTTAATTTCGATAAAAAATATATTTTTTATAATTATATTCGTTTGATGAGAACTACAATGGTATACTATTATAAAATGTTGTAAGAGATTTTATAGCAATATTAAAATTATACTTACAATGTATTTTTTGTTCATTATTTTTTTTTTAATTTTTATGAAAAACTATAATACATACGCAGATAAAAAAAAGGCTCACTGACTAATTTTGTATGATCAAAAACTTGTCTTTGAAAAAAAAATGTCACTTGATCACTTTTAGGTTTTATCACTTTATTTGTAAATTATTCGGTTAGAACTGTTTAAACTTTATTGCTGACATTATTAAAAAACTTACTTTTTGCGAAACGAATGTTAAAAAACTACAACGATAACAATTAAAATATATTTTAACATTTCAAATAGAAATTAAAATTCGCGTTATTTGTTCAATTATTTTTGTTTTCCTTGTGATAGCTTTCGACTTTTTCCTAAAGTAAATTAAAATAAACATAGGATATGAAAGTGTATATATTGTATATAATATGTACATTGATATATGTCTAAATACTATATTTACTTTAAATGTCTTCAAGAGCTGTTCAACTTCACGTCCAGCTTTTTGTACGATTTCTTTAACATTTTCGGGTAATAAATTATAAGGCGTGTTGATTGCACCATCCTTATTCTTAGTGATCAAGTTCTGCAACTGATCCTTGATAAGTTCAAAATATGCGAAGAAATCGTTAACAAAGCGCTTTTGTTCAGCTGTTAACTTATGACTGAATTTCGTCAGGGCGGAATCAATTGGCTGTTTAGGAATACAAAATATTTTTTTATTTATTTTGAAAATCATTATGAATAAAATAAATTGTTCTAAATTTTCCATTACTACAAATATTTCATCTCCGTGATCGAAGTAATATTCTTGGACTTTTTCTAAGAACCCCTCAATGTTCTTATCTAATCCATATTGCTTTATGGGTTGCCGTACGAATGCTGACAAACTACGAGTTAAATCAAGTGCCGAATGGAGCAAATTATCAAATATTTTTTCAGGCTCTGAAACTTCTGATTTGGCCTAATACACATAAATTATTTTAAGCCGAAACAAATACACATTAAAATTCAATAATATTTGTTTCCGTTTTTCCCAAATCACTTACCTGCGTCGCGAGTATTAACAATACCAAACAAAAAAAAAATTGCAACTTCATTTTGTAATACAAAATTTCACTTTATTATAATATGCGTACACTGAATCGAATAAAGAACGTTTGTGAACATTCGACAAACCTATAAATTGTATTATGGTATTTTATATCTCTTATAATATATAATTTATATGAAGTTTGCGTTAATAATTTCATTCTAAAAGTAATGTACTTTTTACTTTTTCGATAATGCTGAATCAGTATGTTCACCTTTGACCAATTTTGATAACGTTATGTTGGTTTTACATTTGGAGATATTAAATAAATGTTTAGCACTTTTTTAAGAATGTGATAAGATTAAAATCATAACATCTAGTAGCCTACGAACACATATAAGCTAATTTAAACGCTTCACCTAATGGCATAATAAATAAATCATAAGTTGAATTATACATAAGTAGTATTATGCAGAATTGTAATAATATAAAATGCGTTAATTAAAATCTAAAATGATTAGAGAAGCTATCAACGTAATTATTAACTCAACACTTGTAATTGAGAAGAAAAGTAGATTTCTATTAGAGTTTAAAATCCTCAATTGCCTAAACTATATATGCTTTACCAAAAACTAATAAACCGGAAAACAGTATGATATCTATTGTAACATCAATATTTCATCAGTTAAGAAATATGAAAACATTTCAGTTTGGAACCACATCAAGCTATTTAACAAGTTATCTAAGTACAATATCCAACTTACAATAAGACAGGCTGATATCTTTTGCCATGGTGGCTTTATTTCCTAGTACTTCCGTAAGCATAATATTAGTTTTCTTAAACGATTGACTAAGTCATTCAAATATAAAAAAGATAAAATCATTGTAAAGGCAAAATTGTGCCTTTAAAAAGTATTTTTAGTGTAAGGTTGGATACGACTAACCCTGGTGATCTTTCTACAGTGATCAACAATATAATTAAAATATATTTCAAATACTAGTTGACTGTTGAGTCATTCACACATAGCAACCTGGAAATTTAATACGGCACAAGTGTTATTTTTCCCAATTTATTGTTTTTCTTATATAAAAAAAAGAGGTTCGAGTACAGATATTTAAGAAAATGTAATGTTTTATAGCTCCTCTCTGGATTAACCATTAGTCTAATTTTCAGACCTTAAATCCTAAAACTACGTTCTTAAAACTGAAATAAATAAAGTTTCCGCCCTTTCCGTGGAAGTTTTTGATATGTTGTTGATTTTTTAACGTTTATTAATAGTACTAAAACTAAAGAGTACTCCAAACAAATTTTGTACTAAATTGACTATTTTTAAAAAAAGTTTTAACGCACGTCGTAAGTTGAAAATTATGTCACTTTGTTTGGTTTTTTTTTAATTTTGAAGGCGAAGGGGTGAACTTTTAAAATTTTTGCCTGAATTAAGTACCTTTCATGGACGATTTCTCATCTATAGATTTGCTATACATGAAGATATCGTTCAGAGGCTTCAACTATTTTGTGGGTTCAGACCAAATAATAAAAAATAAAATATAACAACATACCATTGTAAAAAGTATACTTCCTAAGCTTCAGACGTAACTATAACATGGTTGAAAAAAAACATCTATAATCAATGACTTATTATTGCCGTAAAGTAATAATAATCATTTATAATAATACACGTGTAAAACGTAATTAAAATTATTGTTAGTAATAAACACCAATTGATAATAAACTATGTGATACGTTTTACATGCTATGAGTATGTACCAGCAGATATTATTGTTTTAGCTTGTATTTAATGTTTTATTAATTATATGTGCTTTCAGATTCTTCAACTGCAAATGAACGACTATCGGTATCATTTTCTTTTTACGACGTTTGTAAGTAGCACTTAAACGTTGCATGTTGTAACGTTGTGTAAAAGCACAACGAAAAAATACAAAAATAACCAAGACTGTGGCGGTCGTTTAAAATAATTATTTTCTACAGGATCTCGAAACGTTCGACTTGGAAGATTTTAAGTACAACTCGGTAAACATGACGTCGTATCGGATTGTAGACGACGAAAACCAAAAAGTGATCAACGTACTTCGCGAAATGGAACGGTTTCAGAGAGTCGGCCAAAACATGTTACACGAAAGCGGAGTGATTCGGGTAAATGCATCTTGTAGTGTCATAATTCGGTGTATGTTCAAAAACAACCTTATAGTAAACGAATGACAAATAACAACATAATATGTAACACACATTTTAATATTTTGATGACGTATAAATCATTATTCGAAAGCGATAATTTTACGAAACAACGATGATTATTCTAAAACTCATATAATAATAAAATCATGGTAAAAAAAAACCTGTACAGTAGGGTCGGGGCATAGTGGAGACAAAACAAAATATACTCTGGTCGGAGAAGTCACCGCTGTTTTAAGATATTATTAAAACTGAAAGTGATGAAATGGCTTTCAAATTAACGCTTCAATGTGAATCTGTAGATGGTAGAAATATAAAAATCGGTAAAAGCATTGTAAAAAAATACGTGATATGCGGTCCATAGTCTATGATTATTTGTCGTCATTGTTACCCATTGATCGTAATTGAACGTAATTAATTTTTTATATTATATTATATTTTATAATAAACAATTTGAAAAGTCCTAGAATTATAATATGACTAGGAAAATACTAAACACGTTGTAAACGGTTACATTTCAGGCTGAACCCGCGCTAATGTACGATGCAGTCAATGTGTTTGCTCACAGTATCGGATCGATAGGTCAATCCGAACGAATGCCATCAGAAAACATCTCATGTAAATCATCGAATCGTTGGGCCAACGGCACGTTTCTATACGACAGACTGAACGCGGTTGGAATTGCATTAATCGACTTTGGACTGTACGTACACATATTAATTTTGTACCGTCGGTTTTACAGGTAGACATCGAAGGGTTGACCGGTAGGATACATTTCGAAGTTGGCAAACGGTCGGATATAAAGCTGGATTTGCTCAAACTACACCAGGAAAAAGTCAAGAAAGTTGGATTTTGGACGCCTTCGACCGGTATTAACATCACAAAACATTCAGTTTTTTATGGCCAACAAAGCTCCAATGTAACGCTTATCGTAGTAACTCGAATAGTAAGTGGTTAAAACTTATTCCTTTTATAAACGTTTGGAATATTATGAATTTTTTTTTTATCATAATTTCGAATGGAAAATTGCTTATACATAAAACATAAAACACAATCAATGTAAAAAAATACTATTATTGTAGTAAAAAATACTATATAGGCTTATGTCGAAAAAAAATACATTACACGAAAAAGGGTTATGTTGTGAACAGTTAGTTATATACCGTCCGAGTGAACAATAAAGAATTCGTTTATGTCAGGTTAGGTTGGGTTAGGTTAGGTTATAGTATCTGTTTATGGTTCGTTTTTCCGTAAATATAATTATGTACCTTGATTGTAATATTTTTACAGGAAAAGCCATACGTTATGATCAAAGAAGACAAAAACCTTACGGGCAATTCCAAATATGAAGGTTTTTGCATTGATTTACTACATAGAATTGCTTCTCAAGTTGGATTCCACTATGCGATTACGATAGTACCGGATAATAAATACGGCGCTTATGACCCGACCACGAAACAATGGAACGGTATAGTGCGAGAACTTATAGATAAGGTACCTATTTTTCATAATACCGTGATATTTATGTATGCCTCGATAATCATATAGGTAAAACGTTTATCATTTTTATATTTGATTTTGTGTAGAAAGCTGATTTGGCGATGGCGTCGATGACAATTAACTATGCCCGGGAGAGCGTTGTAGATTTCACCAAACCGTTCATGAACACGGGCATCGGTATATTGTTCAAGGTACGTGTCGTATGAGACACTATTGGAAAAACAGTTTTCTAATCATATATATAATATAATAATAATAATAATAATATACGTCATAAGGCAGAATACCGAGAAAAATCGTGTATAAAAAAAAAAACTTTTGCAATCATCACTTAAAATAAAAAGTTCACGTCGGTCCCCCAGAGCATTCTACGGCAAAACTTAATTTGTTTTTCCTTCTTCAAAACACACAAACACACACACACACAACAAACACCTTTGCTGTTATACGGTCACCGTTGACGACGTCACAGGCCGTAACTTCATTGAAAACAACAGCTACATTGTTTCTCGTTTTCGCAGGTTCCGAGTAACGAACCGTCAAAGCTCTTCGCCTTCCTGAATCCGCTGGCGACCAGCGTGTGGACCTTTATGCTGGTGGCGTACTTGGCCGTCAGCCTGTCCATGTTCTTTTTGGGTAGGTTTTCACCGTACGAGTGGCGACCACATACTGAGGAAAAGCACCGTCAAAACCGGTTCACGATATCGAATTGTTTTTGGTTCGTCGCCGGCGTTTCGTTGAAACAGGACGCGGGAATCACGCCTAAGGTAATAAAATCATCAACGTTTCCGTATAAGACAGTCGACTATTATTATGGACATGACCAATCGTCTCATGTAAAACAGGGATGTAAGTCCATCGAGACATATTATGAGATAAAAATCTTGGTGGGACGTACTTATGTATATAGTGTGACAAACACAAAAACGATGTGGTCCTTTATGTCCAAACGCTTGCTTGAAAGGCGCATGAAAGAATTAATTTTATATAAGTACCATTTTTCTTTTAAAAAATATCGTTGACCAATATTTTGTAATTAATAATGCACATTTTAATAATTTACCTACGTAAAAAATCCCGATTCGGATAATTCGATTATGCATATCTTTCACCACCACTAATTTCTCCGCTCCTAAGTTGTGTTCAATTTAAAGTTAATAATTATAGAAAATACTCATGAAAACTTTTGCCTATCTAAAATTTTAAACCTTAAAAATGACCAGCAATCTTATTAGGAAGGAGGAGGTCCTGTATGCGAGGAGAAAAAATAGGATTTTTTTCTACAATTTTTAATCTCAAAGATCTACTCAAAGACACTTACTGATCGATAAAGGCGCTAATCAAAGAAAATGGAAAAAAAAACCATTGTAAAAATAACTTTTTTGAGCTTCGAAACTAAAATAGTCCTTTGAGAATATTATCAAGTTTGACCATTTCTTATACAGTAAATAATTACAGCTAACAAAAAATCGTTAGCTAAATGTCTGTTAAAAAATGTTGACTGTGTTAAACGCATATTATTTTATAATAAATTCGCAATACTGTTCAAAACTGCAATTATTGTATTTATACAGGCGACTTCGGCGAGAATTCTAGGAGGTATTTGGTGGTTTTTCACCATCATAATAATACCCTCTTATACAGCTAATCTGACCGCGTTGCGGACGGTCGAACGACTGCAAAAACCCATACAAAACGTCGCAGAGCTATCGTCGCAGGAAAAAATAGCGTACGGTACACTCGAGGGCGGTTCGACCATGTCGTTCTTCAGAGTAAATAGTTCAACCATTTCGCGTGCAGGTGAACGGTTCGACGGAAAACTAATCGACGGTTTATCCGAATACTTTCAGGACTCACATATACCCATATACAAGAAAATGTGGGAATTCATGGCGAAACATAATTCGGCGTTTGTGTCCACCTACGACGAAGGTACGAAAAAGGTGTTGGAAGGCAACTACGCTTTCCTGATGGAGTCGACGATGATAGATTACGCGGTCCAGAGGGACTGCAACCTGACGCAAATCAGCGGCCTACTGGACTCGAAGGGCTATGGCATAGCGACGCCAAAGGGTTCTGTGTGGCGTGACAAGCTGTCGTTGGCCGTGCTTGAACTCCAAGAGAAAGGCGTTATTCAAATGCTGTACGACAAATGGTGGAAGAACGCGGCCGACATATGCATCAAAGACGAAAAAGTCAAAGAATTCAAACCTAAACCTCTGGATCTCAACGACCTGGGTACGATATTAACTTAAGAATAAAGACAGTATAGTACTCAAACGATATTTTCGGATTTGTTCTTGAGTCCAGCAGTAACATAGTTAAAACCAGATATGGGAAAAAATAGGTGGATAAGTGTGCCTAAAATTTAAAAACATACGTCTCTATTTTAACTTTGTTAAACAATTTTAATGGATATATTACGCATTTTTAAGTAAGGGTCATTTTCGACCTAATAATACCTGTTGCTCAATATAAGGACACCAGTTAAGGGTTAAAATGTATCGTGGAAAATAGTTAAGTAACACTATTTAAAATACAAAACAGTATTGAAATTTCTAAATACAAAATAGTTTGAGCTTGTTCATTTATAACATTCATGGTAAAATGTACAAATAGTTGTACAGTCAATTACGTACTCATGTATAAGATACAACGTACACAATTAACGTTTTCTCAGATATTTTTATTAGAGTAAGCTTTTAAGAAGACGTTATACGTCCAATTTTCTAGCGTAAGAACTTGACTACGCAGAATGTTTTTTACAATAAAATCGAAAAAGGATGACATTTTAAAAGGAATGTCATGTCCGTTAATATTTTCTAAAAAGTTATGACCGTTACGAAAAAATGTGTTTTTTACAACAGTACATATTAAGCCAATAATAAATATACTGAAAATCAGATTCCAACTTCCCTCCAAAATAGCATAGTCTTTCAATTTCATGACAGGTGTTTTCAGTTTTGGTCTCTAATATCATCATAGACAGAGTAATAACACAATTTGCTTAGCTATTTTTTGATGAAAAAGAAAAGAAACCCCGCTTAAAAACGTAGGTTACAAACGTTGTGACGATCTGATAAAAAAGTTAACAAAAAAGGATCCTAAGTACAGTTCAAAACTTTTAAATTTACCATTTTAACGATTTGTTGAAAAATGTTTAACTTTGATATGGTTTTTGAAATCTGAAGAAAAAATTAGGTATATAAAGTCGAAAAATACATTTTAAGTAAAACTTACAGAGAAAGTTCTAGCAGCCATTTCTGAATGCACCATCGAATTCTGGGTAAAAGTAGAAGGGAAAAAATCGCTAACTGCGTTTGTTTCATAACTTATTTGTTAGGGAAAAAACTGATTTCTATAATATCTCGTAGGCGGAGTGTTCGTGTTCGTCTTATGCGGACTGACCGTGGCCGTCATCGTCGCCATCTTGGAATTTTGTTGGCATTCGAAAAAGAAGTCTAAAGACCAAGTAAGTTTTCGTAGATTTTGCAAGTTTTTCTATTTATTTTTAATACCTTTCGCTACGACAGCAACAGTCCGTTTGTACGGAAATGGCGGAAGAACTCAGATACGCAATTCGGTGTGACGGTACCAAGCACAAAGCCACGTTGAAACGAACGTGCAACGGTTGCTCACCAATCACCACATACGTACCAGCGCCCATGCAAATGAATCATGTTACCAGTCATATAGTAAGTATACAATTCATATCTTATACGGTGAATTTTTGTATCGGAGAACCTTTTTTTTCGAGTGAAATCTTAAGGTAGATTAGTAAAGCGAGTAATAATTCTTGTCGATAAAATGTTATTAAAAAAAAAAAACCGTTAACTGTTTGAGATCAGGGCGGTTAAAAATATAGGTACAACTCAATCTAACTAACAATATTAGTAATATTGGTAATATTAGGAAAACGATAAAACGAGGAACCAACATCACGTATTATTACTATTATACTCGTATCTACTTATAATTAATTAGCAAAACAATTACCGTAACTACCTACCTATATTAGAGGCGATTCTGGACTACTCGTCAATATCGATAGGCGTCTTGAGTGTATTAATAACTGAAGCCTCCTCGTTGTCTGATGGTAGTTGCTGTTTGAATTTTCCTTGTGCCGCTAAGTGCCATAATTATTTTCATATGGTGCGCTGAAATTTGAAACAGGTGCGCACGAGCGCCTTTGAATGTAGACTGTTCAGGAATCAATTTGTATATTATAATGTTTTAATAATTGTGTTTTATACTTATTTATTTTAGGACAACGTTCCTATGATCGAGCTTTCAAGGCCAGCAATAAGCATCGACCACGAGGATCAATAACATTTGTCGCCCGACTCGCCACCTTTGCACCCGGCGAGTCGGAGCCCTTTCAAAAATGTCCAATTCCGGTTCCACTAAATAAAAGGAATTTTTTTCACCGTGTAATGAAGTCAACTGCCGACTAATAATAATAATTAAGAACTCCGTTTTAGATATCTTCATTTTTTTTCCAAATGAAATAAATGTATAACTCGTGTTTTTGTTACTAGTAAAATATATGTAAATACTAACAATTGTTACATGAAAATAATAATATTGTATTTTACATGTTTAAGTGATTTGAACAATCAATGTTAACTGTCCATAAATTATTGTACCAAAAGTGATTTTAAGTTTTAATTATTATGTGCTTCGTGTTATCATAGCCTGAACAGAAAACTGTTTCTACGTTAAAGTTGTTAAATCGAATTTAATTTTAACAATAAAAAAAATAAATGTTTTAAAATATAATTTTAAAAAATCGTCATTACTTTTGCGTTGTTAATAATTTTATATTCTCAAGACATTGGTTAGCCCTAAAACTTAATAAAAATACGTTGTTTTTCAGGGCTTCCACAGAAATGACTTGCAGTGCGTTCTTCCATTCTTCTATCATTGTACTTACTTCTTCCTTGTAGTTATCGCATTTTTTTTCGTGGTTTATTTTCCAGAGATCTGGTATTGAACTTGTGGTCAAAACTTTTCCGTCGGTAACACATAAATCGGCTTTGACCAATAATCTATCAATCATGTGGAATGCATAGAAAACGCTGCGAGAGGAACTGGGACTGGGAGTAGAGTTTGATTCAGGCTTGAGACGGTCGATTAGCATGTTAATGATGTTCCATCGCAGGTATTTGTCGTAGCAAAATTTAGCTAGGAGATTACATTGGTATTCCACGTGAACGGACTACAAAATCACAATAACAAATGCAATTAGTTACAAACTTTAGAAATAAATCAATTATTCCCATGTTTATGTTGCCATTTTCAGACAATTCAAAAACTCATAGTGCTTCATCGTTACGAGAGTAGAATTTATATTAAACATAGACTAAAGCACTATTGGTTTTTTTATTTTAATAACCCCAAATTTTTTTATATATTTACATTGTATTTATGGTGATCGTTCAAAATCTTAGTTACGGTAATTCGGACAAAATCGGTAACGAAATCACGGCAAGTGAGCGCAAACTCATCGCTCTTGGCCGCTTTGTCTATCATGTCGATCAAATATCTAATAATATTTCTGTCACTGTGCCATTCGATTATTGTGCTCAAAAGTTCTGATTCGTCAAATAAACAGCGATCAATACAGTTTACAGCGTGCATGATGCAATCGGACATAGATTCTTGAGGCTTTTTGTTTCGGCTTTGAGACATTTTTTTCCAACTGATTGTATTGTAACCGGAATCCATAATCGATTCGTTGGCCCCATTCAAATAATGCATAGTAATAATAGACTGGACGAGAGAGGTGTCTGGTTCTTCGAGTGAGATGGAACCCAAATTGTTAGGTTTGGGCAGAAAGCGATCACTGTTTTCATTTGTATCGGACGTCTTCAACTTTTCTAAAACGTTTAGAAGACAACAATAATTTGAGAGCATTATGAGTAAATAATGTATGGCATAAAATGGGTCATTCTATGCATAATCAACAAGGTTTCTGATGTGTCTTTATTTCATAACTCTTGATGATTGTTCAAAATAACTTAAAAAGGTCTAGTTTTCATAATTCGTTTTCTTATGATTTTTTAGTTTCAAGGGAAAATAATATATCACGCCTTATAAAAATCCAATTAGAGTTTGTTCATAATAACACGCCGAAGTGGAAAATCGCGATAAGCCAGCCGCATTTTTACTGGGTCCAGCTAACTAAGTTTGTAAGTGAAGTAGTAAATTTAAATTTCCAGAGGCAATTTTACTGATAACACGCAAACGAAATTTGAAATTATGAAGTTTTTTGTGGCTAGGGTAAAATTTCAATTTTGTGACTTGTGTCATTTTTGAAATGACCGATTCAATTAATCAATATTATGTACAAATAATAAATATCGATAGAAATAAATAACAAAAAACCTTAATAATATATTATTATTACCATACAATTTTTCATACCACTAGTACACTATTTTTTTAACTTGGGAAGCCTCTCGAAGTATAAAAACGACTTGAAACGACTATGCTTATACCAATATGTGATCGTTTTTTTCATAATTTTTATTACGACAGTTTTTCAAAACGAAAGTTAAAAGTGCGGAGTTTATTAAACTAAAAGTTCATAGTCGATTTTTTTTTAAAGTTTAACATTTTCACTTAAGACTAGACATCACGAAAAAATAGTGAAAACTAGATCTTTCTAAGTTAGTTTAAAAAAGCATTATGCTTTAGTAATATTGCAACGCCGTTTTACCTACGCCAAGTTTTACTTTTGTACATAATACAACAATATGACATCAGATTTATAAAATTACACTTACTCGAGGCACTAGGTTCGGCGGGACCAGAAAACAATTCCGTCGTTTGATTGTAACCTTTATTCGATTCGGAATCACTTAATAATTCCTGGAAGTATATTATTCAAATCTCGTTAAACCAACTATACGAGTGTACAATTATAATACTTTACTATTATAATACTATACTATAATACTATCGTACAATTATAATTGTCAAACACTTTTTTACTAAATAAAACCTAGTTCATATTGGCGCAGAACAAAAATAAAAATATAAACAAAATCTGGATTATCTAATTGCCACAACACTGAAATTAACAATAAGAACAATTTACATAAAAACGAATTGTTAAGTATAAAAAATAAAAATATTGTAAGGTTGGAAAAAAGTCGAAGTTCGTCACAACTCACAAAGTACTTTATTTGATTTACACTTTGCATACATTTTGTTGCTCAAATATTAGAAATCTGCTAATGAATTAAATTACACAAAAAACAATAATAATATTTTTTTGTGAATTTTTCTAGATATCAGTTGAAAAGGAGTGTAACTTTTAATCTATTGATCCTCCAAAGTACCAACCACTTACAATCTCAATTCTATGCAGATTCTACTCGAGTTAATCCGTCTTTATGAGTAAAGTTTACTTTTATGTGAAATTGTATTACACAAATGATAGTTTTTAGGGGTGTATTAGCAAATTGTCACATTGCTAAAAATCCAATTAGAACGTTACAGATTAGTTATCAAAATCCCTTACATCGTTTTACCTTATCCTATACCTACAAATGTGGTGGATCTAATCTAGCCTGAACATCAGGAAAAATGTTTTAAAAATTTGAAAAGTTATTTTTCGGGAGGGCCTCCCCCCCCCCCGAAAACTTTTTCTTGCATTCGCCCCTGACCTAGGTATATCATTTAATAAAAATAATTTTGTATTATAGCTGCGAATTTTTTCGACCCTCCCTCTTCTCTATAATTCACATCCTCAAAATGTTTATTTTGGTTTAAATAAAAATACATATTTTAGTGTACCTAATAATTAATTAATTAGATAGGTATATCATATCTACTTAACTCATTGTCAGATTCTGAGATTATAAATAATGGTTTCGTAAAGGAGGAGGGGCCCGGGGGGGGGGGTCAAAATTATGTTTGACTAAACTTACAAAATCGTGTGGCACGTCACTATTTTTTATACTATTATAATAAAAATGATGATAATTATTATCATGATTATTTTTAAATATGACAAAAGTTACCTTAAAAAATCGTTCATTTTCATCTTCCATGATTTTAGATTTATCTGCGATGTCCATACCTACTGTAAGACTTTCTTCAATTGGTGGTCAACGTGAAATTTAACAATTTTCCTGTTATTATAATATATAAAAATATAAATATTAAATATACCTATATATTATAGATAGGTATCAACTTAGGCTACGGCCTAGATATTTAAAACTAAAACTTTCTAGTGTGTATAATAAGATGTAATGTTTTAATAATATACATTAAATTAATTAGGTGCATCACTTATTGAATAGCATTTTCCAATTAATACAAATACCTACTTATAAAAAGTTGCACTCTACCTACAGACATAATTAAGTTTAGTATCTCATAGAATAGATTTAAAAAAACATGTGATGCAAACGATTCGCTGTGGTGTACAGCATGTACGACAAAATAGAACAAAGAGTAAAAATTCGTCTGGTTGATTAATTAATACACAATTAATATACCAAAACATTGGAGAGACGCTTTGGTTGGATCAAGAACTAAAATAATAATAAAATAATAGTGATTAACAATAATTAAGCAAACCCTTGGTATTCTATTTCGAGCAAAATAAAAAATAAAATATCAAATCATGTTAATAAACAAATTTTATATTATTTTATTATTATTATATTGTGTAGTGCCAATAAACATTAAAAAAAATTTCATTATGTTGGTAATTTTTTTGTTAATAATCGAATATTTTTTTTAATTTTAATTTATTAATTTAAACAATCTTACTCGTTAAAATGCAATATCCAAGTTGATAGCACAGAATCTATAAACTATTTTGTAAATATAAATCTGAAATCATTACAATATTTTTGATTCTACAAGAAGTAGAAACTCTGTGGTAATGTTTGAATGTAAAGTGATACCATAACAATGGTTACTTGTAGCAGGGTAGAAGTATACTTATAACATCTTTGGGAACGCATGTTGAGGTTAACTCATATTTCTCTCAATACTGATTACCGACAAAATGTACAGTACTTGTTCTGATACCGCTATTACTGAATACTTATTGTCTTATTGACTGTAGCCTAAACTTACAGACCTAAAGTAAGTGAAGTGCGAACACGGAACACCGATTTAAATCTATAATATATAATTAAGAAAACATTAACAGTTATAATCATACTTTAGTCCTGACTGTATGTTTTTATATAACCATTATTACAAATATTAATTTAAACGTATCAAACTGTGAAAAAATACTTTTCAATAAGTGTAAGTACGTATTAATTGGAATTTTTTTAACAAGACAATTTGTTGATGTATTGTTTTTGATTTAACTAGGTAATTAAGAAAAAATCTTGGATCAGCATGGACGGGTCAAAGCTTTCGCAAGAAGAACTCGTAGACAAATTAAAACAGCAAGTAGCTATGGAAAATATTGAATTATTATTAACCGTAAGTGTGATTTATATCTTCCATCCCAGAGTTACTAATTACAACTTAATGTAAAATAGACTAAAAAACAGAAATAATTATTTTGTGTAAAATTTAACATATCTTTTTATTTATATTACGGTTATACTTTTTAGTTGCCAAGATAATGACGACATTATGTACTTTATTTCCTATTGTATTTCAATGCCTAATTTTAAGACAAATTTATATGTAGTATAAATTATTTGATTTTCATTGTTTAGCTAAGTAACATTATTAAACATATTTTTAAATAATGATAGGCTTTAACTCTGCTAGTTACGGTAATTTTCAAGCCTCTATACCGATCATAATTCTCATGTAGAAATCATTAGTACCTAGTTATCTAAAAACAGGAAATTATCAATACAGACCTTGCAAATTTAAAAGTGTATTTGTATGGACGAACATTATAGTTTTGGCTAAGCCTAGTACATAATTTAAAAAAATATTCTAAAGGTACCCAAATGAAAGTGGTTAAAACTTGTATGTACCTAAAGAAAATGTACACGCTAAAGTATTAATGAATTTTTTTTTTTATGAATAGAAAATGAGTCGGTTGTGTTTCAACAAATGCGTAACAAAACCGGCCAATTCACTTGATAGTTCTGAACAAGTAATTATAAATCTATCAAATTATATATTAACTATTTACTTTATATTTTACATAAATATTTTAATTATTTCTAGAAATGTGTGACAATGTGTATGGATCGTTACATGGAAACAGTAAGTCTCGTATCAAAATCATTTGGTGAACGAATAATGTCAGAATCACAAAATATGCATTAAATCAATATTGATGTTGTAAATTTATTAATGTAGTTTTTCTATTTAATGTTTTTCCACATTGTGAATAATTTGTAATTACATTAAAATATAAACAAAATATATGGCTATATATTAGAAAAATTTCACAAATATTTTGGTTTTTTACTATTATATTACACAGTTAGGTATAGTAAATATTTATAATAATCTATATAAATGTTCAATCTTTATTTAAACTCTTTGGTTAAATTCGGTTCAAATGTATCTCGTCGCGCACTACCAACATTTTAAAACCATATTAAGTCATCTAAATTAAAAAAAACTGACAATTCTGTTTTTGTTTTAATTTAGAATAATATGTATTATAATATAAAAACAAAATTAAGCCAACTGTTTTTAAATTGGTCTGTGTTATAAATAATAATTAACACACATTTTCACTACTGCTTTTCTACCGCTGGTCGCTAATAAAATTAATATAATTTCAACTAAGCAATTTTTTGAAGTCAAACTGGAAGTGTTACACAGAATAATTGAAACATTTTTTTTTAGATTGAAATGTCTATTACTCCCAAACTTAGTTACCTAAATACCTACAGTTTTTTTAAATTTAGATTAAATCACTTGTACATTTAGTAGCAAGTTTAATTAAATATTATAAAATCTTTAATTTAATTAACTATTTTTTGTTTATTGGATTAAATTACTTACTTTTTATCACTTATTATAAAATCGGTCACTTTCCGTCACTAATTTTATTATTAGTTACTTGTTTTGTTCTAATCTAAAATATTTGTTTTATGAAATATATTGAGCCGATCAGTTAGAACGGAAAAATATTGCCAAAAAATCAAATTTTACCATGACATGTATTATTTTAAAAAATAAATAAATTACAATTATAATTTTTTTTCAAATTTTGAAGAATACAATCTTATATCACTAAAAAACAAACGGAAATTAATCTTGGCCCATTTCCGTTATTAGACGAAAAGATTTGATTTGACTCTCTGATTTTATAATAAGAATTTCAGAATTTTAAAACCGGTTAAAATTGATTTTTCGTGAAAAATAACTTTAAAAACCTCTATTTGAGTGATAATAATTTCAAAAATATTTAATTCTTTTATTAGACCAAAAAAAATTTTGAAAAATGTTCTAGAGTTCAAGCCATTGAGTGGTTTGACTCAGAATCCTCCATATATATATATGTATATTTTATTTTTTACAAAATATGTACAACATATTTGTGGATTATACGAGTAAAAATGGATTTAAACTACCAGGTTTTTTTACAAGACTATAAAGAAATAATTTATCAGTAAACACAAGCAGGGATGGACTAAGGTAAAATATATAAACCTAAACTTTTGTACAATTTGACACCTTTAATTACATAAAATACAGCCCCTTGGGTAGATTACCTAGAAATAATCAATATCGTGAATTCAAGTGGCCCATACCCTTTTAAAAGTTTGTATTAATTAAATAAACAACTCTGGGAGTTTAATTTAAACGTAATTAACTCAATATATATTTATATTATAATTACTAATAAGACATTATCAAAAAAAATATTAACAGGAAACAAAAACTTATTCATCACCATCGCTGCTTACTTCATCTTCCAAATCTAAATCTTCGATTTCATCAAATAATGATTCATCGACTTTCACAGAATCACCTAAAAATTAATATATTATTAAATATTTGCCATTTACGTTCAATGGTAGTATTACGAATAACATATTTCATATGCAATCAAACTAGAGGAAACCTACACACATTTTTATAGAATAAAAGTTGTTTCCATTAAATATGTATTTTATTTTCTATGTGTTAAAGAATTTTAGCAATAATGAAAATAAAAATAGCAAACCTTCTTCTAAGAATTTCAAGTCTGATTCATTTAGTGATTTATCGGTCATAAATAACTCACGACCTGTCATTTTTTTGCCTTTATCCTCTTCGTTGCGTTTTTTTAAAACACCCATGTCTTCTTCAAATTGAAATTTCCACCGTAAAAATGATTCTACCGTTACTTTAGTTCCCTCAAATCGTTTCTAATCATATAAAAGTACAAACAAATTAAGAAGAAAAATAGTAATTTAGGGTAGAAGTAGTCATTAAATAGAGTAACAAATAATTATAACTAAATAACACTCACTAATTCTGCTTCCATTTCTCTTTCCCGTTTTTTTTCTTCATCGTCTTCTTTTTTCTTCTTTTCTCTATCCGAGTTTTCATTCATCCATTCTTGAGCTGCTGACACTAAGGTAAATATCATTACCATGCCTACATTTTCTCGTGCCTATAAATAAAAGGGTAACAATGACGGTAAATTAAAAATAATATTCGCAATCAAATAAGTTACCTGTTGTAATAGATATTCTTTTAATTCATTTTCTTCTTCTTCTTCGAAACCAACAACGTTTTCAATTTCAACAATTGGAGGTTCATCGGGATATTTTTCAATGTATTCAAACTTTAAACAACAAGACAGCCCAATATCGTGCTGATCGCTGTCAAACTCATCAGATTTGACAGGTATTTCAAACTGATAGTACGGTTCTGTAGTCAAAACTAAAAATATAATATACAATACTGTTAGGGTGGGTTTTTTTTTTTTTTAACAAAAACAACCCGAATTACTTGTCATTTCACCACAATAAATTGAATCCAATGCATCAATTTCATTTTGTTGTTCTTCTTTGTAGTCCATCTTGTACTTGATACCATTAATTTAAAACTGATGCAAAACAGTTAATATTTATAGTAAACCTATCTACCGACTATCTTAAGTATATATATTTTTGAGAGAGAAAAGATTTTTTTTCCATTCAACACTGTTTAGTAAAAAATTAATAAAATTAAAATAAAAAAACTTAAGAAGTGAAGTTTAGGAATTCGGATATGAAGTACGAAAAGGAAAGTGGGAGATGTGGTCTATGAACACGTTATACCTTATCAGTTATCAAAACCGTTATCACTTAACTCATATTCTGTTATCGACATAATATTTATTGTTATCACTTTGCCGGTCTTTATCAGTGAAATATATCAACAGTGGAATAATTTTTGATATAAACAAAATATAATAGTTAATAATTAAAATAGTAAATACAATTTATAGTTATTTATTCTTAAATTTAAACACAATAAATGTGTAACATTAGGAATAGTTGAAGAACAATGTATTAATTACTTTATATTTTAATTATTATTATTTCGTTGTACTAAAAATATTTATAATTAAGCTTCAATAACTCTATATAATGTGTGGAATATCTAGAAGTTTGAAAAACGTACCCAAAACTTCATATTTTATTACAACACCAATATTTTATGTCAATGCAAGTAAGTGTAATAATATAATGAAATATATATGTTTAAAATTATTATTTTTTGTTTAAAAACACAATATATTATACTAAATTATGCCTAAAATTAAATTTTTTCTTACTCTGTTCAGAGTTCGTAAAACTCCTTTTATATTAGTTTTTAAATGGTTCACAGCTGTTTTTTTTGGCATATAAAGCTAGTTCAAACACATTTTGTTTGCATAAACTTTAAAAATTATCACATCTAATTTCATACTTAAATAAAATATTACTAATACCCTTCACCACACCTAACCAAGTTTTTGGTGTTTACCAATGATGGTAATATTAGTTTTGGAATATACCCAAAAGTAACAGGAATATACTCAACTAATGTAAAGTGCCTCATTTTGTGGTGAATGTTATTTTTAATATTTTATCTAACTATATATTCCACAAGTTTTCGTTCAGGTTATTTTTACGTTAACTTTATGATTTCATATGATGAATAATGCTATTATTGGTTTCACAAAACTCTCCAAAATAATATCTAAGGTGGAATATCAATTCCCTTCATTTCCCTCTGACCTTTAGTGTGAACGATTGAACCGGCAAAGTATTGTAATTTTGATGCAATGACAGATGGTATTTTGTTGAACCTGCTGAAGTTTATTCAGTATCTAAATTTCTTATAATTAATAAGGGTACAATTTTTTTCTGTTTTTAGTATATACTTAATTTAGTTTAACAAATTGTTTTTGCCATTAATGTAATCGTTAAATGTAAGCTTACTAACTTTCATAATTATAAAAAAGTATAGTAGGAAAACAATAAAAAATATTAAATTTGTAAATATGTATAATCATTATCATATAGCTTAATGAGCCATGAAGGCCCAACACTGCCACCATGAGATAGCTTCTTGACAAATTCGCTATCCGGGACAGGTCATCAGTCCGTCGCCGGAGATGGGGATGGCGGTTCTTTTTCACCGGGCGATTGCTCGCCCGTCAAACAGAGCGCCTGTGACCTAGTGTCGAACCTGGCGACAGTGAGCGCTAACACACTGCCACCTTACCCACTCGGCCACTTCTCCTCCTCCAAATATTTATAATAACCCAATCAAATCAAAAATACCTATTTTAAACAAAGTTGGCAGAAAAAACCAACTAAATTTTTCTATGCACCCAAAAATATGGGTTTTATTAGGTTCAATGTGTACCCACAAAAAATGTACTGGGTCGTGATTAGTAAAAAAAAAAAACTTAATAAATAATGAGTATTAAGAATGTTCAATTTTTTTTTTATCTTTAATATTGTAGGCCCTCATATTGGACATCTTTATAGTGCTTTAATTGCCGATGCTTCTGCGAGGTTTCAAAAGCTCATAAATCCCAGTATAAATATTCTCTTTAGCACTGGTACCGACGAACACGGTCTGAAAGTGCAAAAGGCTGCCGAAGCGAATAAAATGTCTGTAGATAAATACTGCGACATAATTTCCAACAGTTATCGAAGCACATTCCAAACGTTCGACGTCGGTCACACGTCTTTTATCAGGACCACGTCGGATAGGCATAAGAAGTGTGTAAGTCGATTTTGGGACAAAATACGACCTCACATGACCGAAGGCAAGTACACAGGATGGTATTGTATGGCGGATGAAACGTTTTTATCGGAAGACCAAATCGAACGGACCAACGATGGTGTCCGGGTGAGTAAAGAATCCGGACGACCCGTGGAATGGGCAGAAGAAGACAATTATAAATTTGACTTGCGCCCGTTCAAGGAAGACCTTCAAAACTGGTTAAGTGATCCGCACAGGATAAAACCAAAAGTATTCCACGATATACTGTGCAGGGAAGTGAACGATTTGTACGAAATATCGCTGTCGAGACCGAAGAGCCGGGTGGATTGGGGCGTACCGGTGCCCGGCGACAGTGGCCAAACCGTTTATGTATGGTTAGACGCTCTTGTCAACTATTTAACCGTGTCCGGTTACCCGGACGGGGGTTTTTGGCCTCCGGACGTGCACGTGTGCGGCAAAGACATTCTGAAATTCCATGGTGTGTTTTGGCCGATATTTTTGATTGCTGCCGGACTGCAGCTACCAAAGCGGATTTTCGTACACTCCCACTGGAAAGTCGACGACGAAAAGATGTCGAAGACCAAAGGCAACGTAGTGGACCCCGTCGGAGCCGGCCGCGCATACACAGAGTCGGGCCTCAGGTATTTCCTCCTCCGAGAAGGTACCGCACACAGCGATGGTAACTACAGCGATGTCAAGATCAGAAGAATACTGAATTCCGAGTTGGCCGACACCATGGGCAATCTTTTGAACCGTTGTTGCGGCAAAGCTATAAATCCCCATCTAATCTACCACAAATCCAATCCAGAAGCCTTTATGAACCTGTCGACTGACCCGAATTTCAGAGAACTCGACCAACGGTTGAACAAACTCGCCGACGTTGTAGCCGGTCATTACGAAGAGTTGAACTTTTACAAAGGAATAGATGAAATCGTAGCCACATTGCAATGCTGTAATCGATTTTTCGAACATAACAGACCTTGGGAATTGGCCAAAAGCGACGACTTGGACAAATTGTCGTCTATACTACACGTTACTTTAGAAACATTAAGAATGTCCGCAATAACTCTGCAACCCATTGTACCCGCGTTGGCCGATAGGTTACTAAATAAATTAAACGTAGACAATCGAAATTGGGATCAAATAAAGCCCAATTGGATCGACAATAATGAAATTGTTAATCCTAATTGTTTACAAAATAAAAACATAATATTGTTTAAAAGACTAATAATTAGTTAAATGTTATATTCGTTAAATATTGTAAATGTGTTGAAATTAAAAAAAAACAATAATAATAGTTATTCAAAATGTTATTGTTGTGTATTGATAAATAATGAAATACCTACTTTTACGATGTTATATTATTTGACAATCAAATGGGTAGTTCATTCATTAAGGTTTTAGTACTTCGCAGTTAGGCCACGCTGAACTTTGAATTGTTCGACTAATAAGAATTTTTTTTTCTAAAAACGTTTCCATGAGAAATATAACAATGTGTTAATCGTGTTAATAATAAGAAGAAGATAAGAAATATAACATACAAAAACTTTTTTTTTTTATGCATGTTTGTTAGAGATTTCACATCTTGGGCGCAAACCTAAGATATGGGTAAAGTGACTATACAGATAAAATGACGTATGTAGTCATAACTCATAAATAATCTATTTGTAGTAGAAATCATTTTATATTATCCCATTAGAATATAAAATTTTAAACTAAAGGATGTCCCAAAATTAAAAAATAATTAAGTACATTTTTATTTTAAATAGAGTGTTTAATAATTATATAATCATTCGAATAATTGCCTGCGATTATTTCGAATAACGTTATTTGTAATTCAATAATTTCGCCATTTCAAGTTACGTAATTGTTTAATAATTAACTTAACTTTAATTATACAAACCATTTTTTTTTCTAATAAAATATTATATTATTGTACCGTTTTTTGATTTGTTTTGCTCTTACATATATTAGTGTTTTAAATTAGGTACACTATAGTGAAATAGCCGACAAAAAAAATTAAATATCCTTACTTTAAAAAAATAAATAAATAATGGCTACAGGTACACCTATTATAGGAGGTACTTATGTGGAATATCGTTACTAAGGTAATTGTTAACCGTAAACACAAACATGACCTTGTGCACAACACGCACTTCACTATGTAATCATAGCCAATTAAAAACTAGCTGGAAAGAAGAAACATTTCCGTTTCAGTCGAGTAGTATTGGTCGTACAGCATACTACTTTGTGCAGTCGTTAATCGTTATTATTTACATTATACAATATTATATTATAATATACAATAACAGTTTCAAACAATCTAACCACAACCAACAACAGCTTGTTTTCCATTAAATCTTGTTTTGAAAACCTAAAATGACTTACAAACTTACTTATTTCAACATCAGAGGTAAAGCCGAACCCATCAGGTTCATTTTGGCATACTCGGGAATCGACTATGAAGACAACCGCATAGATCCTTCAACGTGGCTAAGTTTAAAACCAAGTAAATATAATATATATATATATATTTTTTTTTTTCTTAAATAGGTATTATATTGCATTAAAAATTGAAAATTGTATGTAAAAAATAAATGTTATACATACATACATGCTAAGAGCCTGGTATGGGTACGATCTGCGAGGTGAATGATCTTTTAAATGTCTGGTGTTACATAACATGAAATACATACATAGAAACATGCCACGAAATATATTTACATTCCACAATTTTGGGCAAACTATAGGATGACAAACATTATTTATACTTTTTATACTTATTAATTGAAAACGATTTTACAAGTAAAGTGAAAAACAAATAATATATTGCTATTAATTTATACTATATTATTATTATTAAATAAAAATGATTGTGTTAATGTTTTAACATTGCCAATTAATGTATTTATTTAATATTTGTTTAAAAACGTTGTGCATAACACAATTAAAATCATAGACGGCCACAATTATTTAAAAAATAAATGTGGACAAAACTATTTTAGTTTTTTATTATTTTACACTCGAGTCATTAGTACATAAATATCTCAAAAATTAGTATTTTCACAAAAAATACATAATCTTAACCAATTAAATTTGTTATTTTTAGACACAATTTATAGACGTATAATATTTGTAACATTGTATATACAAATTAAAAATAGTTAGTAGTTGAAAAATGTATTGAACAAATCAAAACTAAATAAGAACATTTATAAAAAAAAAAATTCAAATTGTTTCATAGTATATTTTTTCTTTCGGGGTATAGTTCTTGAAAGGCACTTTTTTTAAGTATTCAATTTTTTCAAGAATTAAAATTATAGTATCATCTCAACTTTTTTTTTTTTTTTTTGTAAATCCGTATTAAGGAGTTTAGACATTAATTAAGGCATTTGTTGTAATAAATATTATTCTTTAATAATCTTCAAAAATTGTGCAGTATAAATGACGGATCAAAATAATTAGCATTGTAAGTTATAATGGCCAGTTAGGTTTTTTTTTTAAAGTATTTGAGGCTATATTTATGTTATTCAAATGAGTATGTTATTTTTAAGATGCGCCATTTGGTCAATTGCCACTCTTGGAAATCGACGGAAAAGTGTTAAATCAGTCTATGGCAATATGTCGTTATTTGGCCAAAAAAGCAGGATTGTTAGGCAGCGATGATTGGGAATCGTTGTTGGTGGATATTGCGGTTGACAACATTGGTGACTTCTTACAAGGTATTTTATTGAGTTATTAAACAATCACTAAACATGTTATTGTTTCCTTACTAAAAATAGAAGTATTAAGATTTTAGAGTACATTGGCTCCCTGACACTGATCCATCAAAAGCTACAAAGTACAATACCCTTATAAACGAATCTATTCCTTTCTACATTGACAAGTTTGAACAGATCGTCAAAAACAACAATGGTTACTTTGTGAACGGAAAGGTATTTTAATGACTATTTATTATTTGAAATACTTAAATTTTCACCAATATACCTAGTTATTTTTATTTAAATATTTTTATTATTTTTTAAGAAAATATGTGGAGAATTTGAACAATTTGTTTAAAATATATAAATTTATTATGAATACGTTTATCTTGTTTCAGTTGACTTGGCCTGATTTATTCTTTGTTTCGCTTCTGGATACGCTGAAATTTGTAGCAAAAAAAGATTTTCTCGAAGATAAACCTAACTTAAACGCTCTCGTGGACAAAGTTTTAAGTTTGCCTCGAATTAAAACGTGGACAGAGAAAAGACCGAAAACAGATTGTTAAATACTTAAATGTAATATATCTGTTTTTGTTTTGAATTAATTTTTACTTCAAAATGAATTATTTCACATTGACAAGATAGTTTTTTTGAATATAAAAATAAAATTAAACAATTTATATTAATTCTAAGACCAGTTCTGAATTTAGCACCGTATTAATAAAACAATAGTGATATTAATAAAACGATTGTCTAAAATACATTTTTTTTAAATATTCAAATATACAAGACACGCTGAAAATAGCACAAAACGGTATTTTTTATTAGTTCTATACGAGACCGATTTAAAAAATAACTAGAAGTGCTACAACATTATTCTAAAATCGGTTTGGGTAAGTAAAACAAAAATATTGGATTTGGGTTCAATAACAAAAAATAAGGTTACACAATATTCTACAGTGTAATTATTATTATTAACAAAGCCTTACCATATTAATTATTATTAAGACAAACAAATTTCATATGCAACAAATTACTATAGTAACATTTTTAACGCAAAGTCCACACAAGTAGGTAAATCACATATGAAATAGGTACTATTAAGTAGATGTTTATTGTAATACAATACGTCATACTCAATGGTAGTACCGACCTATTATGTTATATTTATTTTAATGAAATTTTATACCATGTATAACACTATAGATTAGTAATAATAATATTTTTATATTTATTTACTACCCATAGAGCGTTCAGTTCTTTTTTTATGACCTCGAGTAAACAATGCGATACCGTGTGTCCTACGATAACATTATAAAGAGAATTATTAAAATTGACGTTCATATAATATATCTAATACTTTATGACTTGGACGTCTTATCTTAGCATGATGTCATCGTGTAATTATAATTAGGTGTATGTGTACAATAACATTATTATGTAAATACAGGAATGAATGTCTTTATTTCAATCGCTTTTTATTAAAAGGCCATGTGTTACATTTTGTTGCAACTTTCAACTAGTATAAACTCGAATTGAATATTTTTACAGTATAGAAATTTGGTATAAATGTTGAGTACCATGCACGTCATAATGCACATAAAAAAAAAATGATTTGATGAACAAAGTTACCACATTTTGAAAGTTATGCAGTTTTTTATTATTTACCAAAAGTTCACCTGTTGAAACATGTGGCCTTTTAACAAAAAGTGATTCATCTGAGAAAAGGGTTTTGAGTATATTTTAAAGATTTGCTGTTTTTTTTTTTTTTTGTCGAGTATGATTTAATTGCTACGGATAGATATTACCATTGACTAATTATATTATGACGCATCTGAATGTAATAATTAGTACCTTACATATTTGTAGGTCATTATTAATTATTTCATGTACCTAACTGATTTATTTTCAAATTTCATAATAAATGTATTAATTTTTATCGTATTTTACACTAAATCAAATGCCAACCTATGTAATTGCGGTTATGGTAATTGTCGACTATCGTTTTATAATTAATACTATTAATAATTTAAAAAAATGTATGTTCACTTGTTCGTAGCATTAGACATCATTATTATTTATCTAGCTTGGATGTGAACCCTAGCAGGCACCTATAATCTAACAGAGAAAAGACAGTTAAATATAATATTGCTTTATCTATTTTTAATTTCAATTTTATTTTGTACGTCATTATTAATATTTAATTAGTCCACAATTTAGTGATTTAGTATTTTTTACACACGAAATTTCAAGTACATGGTTCATTTTAGCCATATGCAATGGACAAATTAGGTTAAAATCAAACGCATTTTTTTTTTTTTAATAACATTTTAGAATCAATATACATATACTATCAATATATATGTGCTTTGATCTTCTACGTTTAAACCTTTAGGGTTTAGGCTTTAGTTAAATTATTTTAGATCATAAAGCTCAAAAAATTCATTTACGCTGATTATGTCATTACGAAACTGCAGTAAGAAGCAATAGTTGTAAAGTAAAATTCAAAACATTGCCGTAGGTCGTTTTTCTATGTATAACTTTATCTGAGGAATATTTTCGATTGTGTCTTTGAGTCCTTGCAAGTGAGGGCGGCCTTCCAACAAATCGATTTTGGCCATATGATTCAAATAGCCTAAAACTCCTACAAAGAATAAGTCAGCCCAAGTTAACTGAAATCACAAAATTGAACAGCAATTAACGATATCATTTCGTTGTTTAAACATTATTATTTATGAACATTTTTTTCTATACATAAAAAATTATCTAGAAGCGGATGATATGATAAATGAATGCTGAGGTTCAATATTTGGCTATAGTCGTTATAGTAATTATAGTTAATAGACAATAGTCCGTTTGTCTACAATCACGTTTGGTTGAAAGTCTGACTAAAATGGCTGAATGAAAGCCGGTAAGGGCTAGGGACAGTCTATTGTAACTTGACGACTCTACAGGAAGTTCCTATTTAAATCCCCAATATTTTGGTAAGGTCTTGAGCAGGCTGTCATGAACCAAATGGGTTTAGTACAGGAAGTATCCGGGAAGTTAATAATGAATCCCGCCGGAAGTTCCTGACGCGAACCGATCTAGTCTGCCCGTAGTAAGGGGAGGCAAGTCGAATAATTCTAAATGAAGTTTAATGTTATGTGCATTTTAAGTTACCTTTCCGTTTACAAAGTATCCTTTATTTTCTGCAACGATTTCTTCAAATTTATCCATGTAATACGGTACAGTTTCTTTAAACAGGGGAACGTATTTTTGATTTTTAGATTCTTCATTCTGATCGTAAAAGTACCCCGCGAGCGCTACAAGAATATTTCAAGTGTATACATTTATAATTTAGCAAGACATTAATGGGCATTACCTTGTCTTAAATCGTGTATGTTATCAACCGCAATATCAATAAGCATCGATTCCCAATCATCATTTCCGGCTAATCCTGCTTTCTTCGCCAAGTAACGAGAAATTGCTGCAGATTGGTTCAATACTTTACCGTCTACCTCCAAAATTGGTGCCTTACCAAACGGCATAGCTAAAAACGGTTGAGCCAGTTGTAAACCAGCCGTTATAATTAGACACAACGAAATTCAGCATAACATATAGGTACTATAGTTATATTATACTTGGTTTGATGGTTGGCCATGATTCCACTTCAAAGCGATAATCTTCAAAATCAATATCCAAATAAGACAAAAGAAATCTGATAGGTTCGCCCAGGGCTGTTGCGTTAAAGTATGTTAGTTTGTAAGTCATTTTGAGGAATTCTTCACTGTAGATATTTTAAAGACAATAAACAAGATTTATTAATACTAAAAATGTATCACAGTTTTATTTTATAAAATATAACTTTAAAAAAACCAGCGGATTGGGGTCGAGGCACAGATAGGTGGGGCGGTGCATATCGGGGCCGAAGAGAACACAAAATATTCTTTAAGAGTTTAATAAAATCACTTTTAAATAAATGCTTCAACGCAAAACTGTACCTACCTACGTAGATGGTAAAATATATAAATTATAATATTTACATAAGTTAACATTTTAGACAGGTCGACTGAAAAATGTATAATATGATAAAAAAAACTAAAATACAAAAAAAAATATTAAAAAATCAACAACAATCGCAATAAGTAAATATTAACACGTAGAAGTGATATCGTTTTTTTTAGATTTTCATTAAACAAATGTGTTCACAAATTTTACAAAATTGAGAACATTATAAAGCCACTGTACATCTACTTTCAATAGAATTATCAGACATTAAGTCTTAAAATTACACCTAAGAAAGTGAAATAAAGGGAAAATATTTACCCCCTCGAAAAAAGGGGTTATAATGTTTTCTAGCTTTTTCACTTTTCATCTATCCTATGTCACAAAAAACGTATAGGATATCGCACAAGTTTGGAACTACCAATTCGACTATTTTTCAGTACATTTTTATTTAGGGTGTATTTCTCTATGTTGAAAGAGATAGGGTAGATTGTTTTTTCATTTTTGGCTTTGTGAAGATCTTGTTGGGTAAAATAAAATAACGCAAAGCCTGAAGTGTTATATTGCAAAATGTCTAATATTTTTTAAGTCACGCCAATAAATAAATAAAAACTTAACAAATCACTTACAATAATATTTTTCAGGGTGTAGAATGTGTATATTCTCCAATGTAGATGTAACGACTTACTGACAAGTCACAGCTAACTATTTACTGACAATGACATACCAGTTAATTGGCGCTCGGTCGACGCTATTTAACATGGATATATAATGTACTTAAACACGCCCACGAGGTCAGACGGACAGAGTTTTAGCAATAGGCTAATTGTATCCCATCAAAACATAGTTATTATAATACCATTAATTAATTACAATTAAATTAATTGTACACTCCAAAAGTAATATTGCTGTAAGATTATTGTAGTTATGTGGTTGGTTTTTTTCTGTAGTTCATATACACTTCATCGCTAATAATAAATACAATTTTTGTTCTAGCACTTGTTTATTTTAGTACAGAAAAATGTATTTACCTATTGTTTGTCAAATTTGATCGACGAGTCTGTCATTATAATATAAAGGCTGTAATTAATTACAGCCTTTATAATATAGACCTATTATTTTAAATGTCTTAAGGTTAAAACGGCTACCATAATAACTTTCATTATTCATTGTTCTTACTTGTTTTCTATGATGGATGAATCATTTGAAATGTGAATGGAAAATCTATGGCCCAATATTCTTATAATCTTACTAGCCGGGTATTTAATTATTCCAAAAACTATGTATACTTCATAGTTCATGCTAGGTCGTTTTTTATTATTATCCCATGTCATCCCTTTCCACTCACAACCCTAGGATTGCTAAGAGTATCTTACCCCTACGGGTTTTTTTCTCAGAACGTTATTATGAGGATCATATACGACCTAACCGTTGCGTTTAAAGTTATCCCATAAACCACCACATATATACTGGGTGAAGCCAATAAAACTAGAGTATAAATACATTAATTCATTTTTGATTTAGGACATTGATTTTAAAACCAACAGTTTAGGATAAATATTTATGTAGGTAATAATAGCTTTCATAGTGTCATTATCAAAAAGTTATTGGTAATATTTAATTTGACCTTTTGAAATTCACATTATATTAAGTTTAACTTTTAATTATATAATTATAACAAAAAAAAAACACATAAGAATAAAAAAAACATAACAAAATAGAAAATTTTTTATAAGTAATAATGTTACACAATTTTAAAATCACTAGTAAGTATGATCAAAAACAATACTGTTGATCGTTCTTTACAAATGATAATTTCATCTTTGACTTAGAGGAATTCATTAAGCTAAAAATAAAAATAAAACATAGTATTAATCAAAGTAATAAAACGTGATATAAAAATAAAACTATAATATAAAACTTATGTTTAAATTCCACCAATTGTACATACCGGATTATCGTCTTCAAAAATCATCTCTGCTTCAACGTCTTCAATTAACTCAACTTCCATGAATTTATTGGCTATTTCTTGAGATATTGTGCTGTCTTCTACCTCTTCATTTGTAATTAAACCTATCCCACCTAACAAGTGATACAGAAAAAAAAAATGTGATCATCATTAGGTTATTATAATTAAATTTTCTCTACACTTACTATCAATGAATTGTGGCCACAACTCTTCTTTGCCAGACAATAAAACTGCGTCTTTTATATGAGGCATCCAATTATTGTAGGAATTTACATCTTTATTGTAGACATAATGTTCCCTTAATGTTTTCAAAGTCGACACAGGTTTTTCCAACTCTTCTAAGCTACTACTCGATTCGATGAGACTTACGGTTAGATTTTTCATAGTTTTGCAAACTGAAATAAATATTTGTTATCGGAAATATCTATAATACTATAACAACTATTCTAGCGCATTACCAATTCCAGAATCGATTCCTTCTTCCAAGAGCTTGTTAAAATCTTCGACCGGGCTGAACGCTGTGATTACACACGGCTTTTCGATTTCATCGTTGGCCGTCAATGGGATTTCATTACTAGCAGCGACTAAATTATCACCTTTTGTAGTTCTGTACCAAACAAATTTATACATTTATTTTTTATATTATACTAATAACCAATTTATTATATTATATTACGTTTCATCCACTTTGGAAACAAGCGAAAATAATTCTTTAATTTTAATTAACGACGACCGAGCCCGTTTTTGATATACAGATGGAGGATATAATAGTGTCTTGATATTTTCAGGTACTTCTTTCGGTAAAACTAGATCAGGGTTAATAGCCTTTTGTACAATTAAATGATTTAAAAATTGATGCTGAGGGCTGTACGTATACTCTGGCATAAAATGACCTTCACTGAAATTAAGAGAATAACTTGATAAGTAATTTTTATTTTCTTGTATTAAATTGTTCAATCACCAATTATTTTTTACAGCGTTTTTGAAATTGGCAAGGTTAGATTGGGTTTACTAGACAACTTCCCAGTCTAGTTGGTTATTAATTTTTAGCCTTACTCAGATACCATAATATTGGCCAAATTCGGCCACCTTTACATTCAATCATTTAATATTTCCTTATTATTTTAATATTTTCAGACATGTGGGTTTACCAGATACATGTTAGTAATTCACTATCAATTAAAAAGAATACTTTGTAAATAATAAAAAATGTTTACAACTATAAATAAAAAATAGTCAAAGTATAGTTTAAGAATATAAAAAAAAACAATTCAAAAAAATTAAATTGTGTTTATAATTTTGGGTTTTACCCAAATAAATTTCATTGGAATCGGTTTTAGTGGCCAACTTCAGCCATTACATTATGGTAAATAAATAGTTCATAAATCATTAATTACTTAGTTTATTTTATCTTACTCGTCATCATTCAAATCCATAGACTTTATCAGATCGCGAAAGAGGTCTTTTTGTTTTTCAGTAGACTTATACTTGTTGAGCGATGGCAATTTCTGTTTTTTCACATCTTGAGCATAAGGTAAATTTACATATACAAACATCTAAAAAATTAGTTAACTGCGTAAGTAACTGTGGAAGTTTTAGTCATTTTGTTTGTAATAAAATAAAATGTTGATAATATTTTTAATAAACATACGTTTTTACCATCGTCAATCACCGGATACAAAACACCAATGCTTGGCACACTGTTGGCTACGTAAACTTTTCTCACAATCATAACTTCCTTTTTTTGAGACATTGCTTTGAATAGAGCCTCAAAAGCAGGCGTACTCTCCTACAAAAAAAAAAAGATTTACAACATAAACTGGATGTATAAATAAATTAAAGACTTTTCATTTAGTACTTGATCCGATGGCTTAAAAATATACGATGCGCCACTCATCAAACATGATCGATGTATATTATGAATACTTGTAAAACCTAAAACGTACATACTTTTTTGACCGGATTTATAGGCGTACGCGTCTTTATCTATGTCTGAATAAAACATTTAAAAAATGTAAATAATATTTATTAAAGTTAAAATAATTATTAGAGTTGCTCTTACTTGAAATCGGTATAATTGTATCACCAAAACGAAAACCATCAATTAAATCATCTCGATTGACTTCTTTCTTTTTGCCGTTTTGAACATAATAATACAAAGTCTCGGTTTTTAATGGAGTTATTGATCCAGGTTTATCGTCTCTTTTACATAACAACCATTTGTGGTTTTTAGGAGACTCATCTAACTACACACAAAATACTAGTTTAAATATTTGTATAGAGAAAAACATCAAGTAAAAACAGTACAGAATCCCTTTATTTTTAACCTTTTTATAACCGCAAACTTTAATGCTGAATACATTTCCGAAACTCAAGGGAACTACCCAAGCTCTAGGAACAACTTCCTTTTGTTTATAATGATTCAACTGAGACACTGCCAAATCCAAACTAGCCGCTTGTGCCTAAAAATTTAATATTATCGTATGTGGAAAATAGGATTACTTACAAAAACATTAATTTTAAATATAGTATTCTTTTTACCTCAGTTTGCTCAATAAACATTTCCAACAGTGGGTTATTACCAGCAATATCTTCGTAGTCTTTCCCTCTGAAACCCAAAACTATGGAATTAGATGATTTCTAAAAACGTAGCAAAAAAATAATCAACTTACATCAACGACAATTTAATATTCAACATTTGGATACACTTCATAATTATATTTATTTTATCTGGAGATATGTCGGCCATGAAATTTGAAAACATGACAATTTGTAAATCGGTAAAAATTTTGCCACTAAAAACATTTTCATTCTTATAATTAGCAAGCAAAATTGTTCATGGTTATTATTTATATTATGTTATATTATGTATAGTTAATTTATTTAACGCAACTTTTAGCTATGATACAAAGCTCAAAATTCGTTTTATTTTTTACAACTTTGGAAACAAATTTTCTTAACAGGGTACTCTTTATTATTTTTTGCCAAATTACAGTGTTTTTTTTTTAAGATGACTACAAATCTAAGTCAGAAATTCACAGATTCCTATCTATTTTTCAAGTTATAGCTACTTAAGGGAATTAAAGTTGAGCTAACACTGATAGAAGAAATAATAAAAATTAATAATTTTATATCAGTAAAATTCATATTAATTATTTTGTAAAATCCATGAGCATTATCAAAAGAATAAATAACCGCAAAGAGCAATGGAATGAAGACGCCAACCATATGAATAGTTGGTGACACGGGCACCACGGTCAACACACTGGTAATACACTTCTTTACATGTATAACGATCATTCCCAAAGTTCAAATAGTAATAATTTTAGAACAAGAGGCCGCGGATTTTTCATTTCAATTTTGATATTGATGTGTAAAAAATAAATCGACAAATAAAAATTGTAGAAAAAAGTCCGTGATTAGTAAATTTATAAGCTATACACCTTTAATTAGGATAAACAAGAAATTGTACTTGATAATATTTTTTAGCAGTTTCCTATTTTATTATATCAATAAATAAATGAGTAAATAAATAATTTTTCTTTGACTTTTTAAAATTTATTTCTCCTTACTCAGTTTCATTTTTCAATAAGTCTGTAGCTAAAATGAGAGTACTGAGCCAGTCAGAAGGCGTTTCATTTGTAGGAGCAATTGTGGTGATGTATTTTGCTAAATTCCATGACGCTAAACCTAAATTTACTACAACCTCTATATTTTGATAGCCTGGACCTTTCGAAGCCAAAGCATTATTTGTTTGAGATGATCCGAATAGTATTAACGCTATTTCATCTTTGCTTTCCATTAATAACTTGAAAAAATACACAAAAGTATTAAATTACAAATTGTAATTTTATGTAAAAACAATAACTTTTCAATATCTACCAAAAATTAAAATATTTCTTACCTTTCTTTGTATAATCATAGAAACGCACTGCAAAGATTGATCAAAATAACTTTTTCCATTCATATCCAATTGTAATGAATTTTTTCCGATATCCAGAGCAATTACTATCCCTTCCTGAAATAAGAATTATTATTAATTAATACCTACCATTTTATAATTACTCATATTATATTATTAAATAATTATACGCCTAAAGCAGACAACTTTTATCGAGAAATGCCTAAACACTATCATTTTTTTGGGTATAATACATATATATTCAATATATATAATACCTATATTCATAGGAAGGGCTGTGGGGAAAAAAGATTATTTTTTAAATTAGATTTTGGTATCAAATTATTTGTATTGACGTATTGTATCTTTTATGTGCTCGAACCAGGGAAAAAACAGATTAGTCAAGAGTAACGACCGCCGAGAGTTTAGTCATACAGGCAAAATGTTTTGAAATTAAAAACATGATTTTCTCAGAATGAAAAAAAATTGACATTGATCTTTTTACCCCGCAGCCCTTCATATTATATTCATTGTTCGTAGAATTTGAACTGAACAATTAAAATTGTTATTGTCAGTAAAAACAATATTAAGAATATTGTGTAAAATTTGTTTTCTTAACTTTTAATAGCATATTAAAACGATAAAATTGTTTTTTTTTACATTTCTAAGCTTACAGATGAAAAAATATTTCTATCAACAGACAATATTTTGTAAAAGATTTAAAATGTGTGTGCTCGAACTAATCTATTTATTATTATATTATGTTATATTATTATATCTATTTATCATTGAAACGTTATAATTTACTTCTGCTAGTGAAAAAATATAAAGGCAACAGCGGTCTACGTGAACTGTGTCAAACAACCAAAAAAGAAGCTAAACGGCTTCACTATTATTAATTTGTATACAAACAAAAGCGTTTTTCGTAAAATCGACGTAGTACCTTTTTTTTGTTGGAAGCCATTGTAATGGAATACTTGAAAAATTGTCTTGATCGATATAAACTAATTAAGATAAATCCAAATAATTATTTAAGTTTTATAATTTATTAATTGTTAATCTAATATCTATATTATAAAAAACAGTAAGTTTCTTATAGCGAATAATACATTTTCCAACTGATCTTATACAATATACATTAATAGGTATGTTCTTTGCTCTCACTTTTTCGGTCTTTCGTGTTTACTCTTTTGAAATGATAAAGAATGATAACATTTTGGCGGATAAATAAATAGGTTGATGCCATAGAGAATGAATGTCTTTATAGATATATGTACAACTTCACCAAATTACACAGTTCCTAATTACTGTTTGACCTAATTTTAGAGGGAAAAATATTTAGTTGGCCCTGGAAAAACTCGAATAGTTGAAAGTTTTTATTTCAATGTATACATAATATAATAACAATATAATATCATACTAATTAATTCAGTTAATACATTATTATTATTATATTAACATACTTTAAAAACTAATGAAGGTCTTTTTAATACCTAATTTTTTTTAACGTGTTCACCACGAATTAAAATTTAATTTGCGGTTATCAATACTAAACAAATATTATTGTGCATATTACTTTATAAATTATATTATTAAACTTTTAATTTTACTCTTTATTTAATACATAAATTAAATTACATATATTTTTAGGAATAACTTGATGTGTTGAATTTAATAAATAATTATATTATTATTATAATATAATATTACCTAATAAATTTATTATTATTCCTAAGATTTAAGTAATAATAAATACTAGTACAAAATAATAATGTCATTTTATGAGTACCCCCTCCTGTAGATTAATTAGAAATTTAAATTACATGTTCAACAAAATGTCAAGTAATTTATATATTTCATTATGTTCCAAGTAAGTTAACAATTTATAGGATTTTTTTTTAAAAATCCGAAATATCTGGCCTCAAGCACCTTAGCACCTTAATTTTTGTTTTTTGTAATCGCCTCGAAAGTTTTTAACACGACTTGCAAAAAAAAATCCAATTCATTTAATTTTCTTTTGTGTATAAAATTAAAATTACAAATTCTACATTAATTCTAAGACCGATTCTTCTAAATTCAACTAAGGAAAATGCAAACCCAAAATTTTTGAGATAGCAAAATAGTTTTAAAAAAATTTATATTTTAAACTCGCAATCGATATAATATATCCTAATCAATCATATAATATGATCTTATATGGCCAGACATTAATTATAATACAGTATGCACTATAATTTTAATGTGCTTACAGTAAGGTAAAATTACAAGGTTGGCAGCATAGAATGTGTCAATTAGGACCTGAAATTTTCCGTGGCCTATTTTTTTTACTATTAAAACTTTATCGAATCAATTTGAAGGGTACACCCATTGAAACTCCATTAAACCCAAATAAGGAGTATCCTAATAGACCCCTTATAAATTACTAAACCAGTATCATTTCTTACTATAGTGGAATACTTAAGAAGAAAATGTAAAATATTATTTTTTCAGACTTCTTAGAAAAGAAAAGTCAAAAACTCACTACAAATTTACTTTATAAATATTCCTTTAAAATATAAATAATGTTGTATACTTTATAATATTATGTTTTTTATAGTGAAAACTATACTATTCAATATTATTTACTTTGACCTTAACACAAATAACAGACTGCACGTAAATTTTTCATAAATTATATTGTCTTATAATGTTATATAATATACAAATATCGTGTAATAATAATTTAGGCTCATGAAACGTAATTATGTCAAAATTAATATCACAAATAAAATTACAAATAGAATTAAAAATGATAGTATAACCTATAAATTTGTATAATGATTTTTTTTTTAACAACAACACATGAATGACAGCAATATTATACCTATTATAGAATAAATTAAACCAACTAACTAATAATATTAATTTATCAAATAATAATAGTTTTTAAAGACCTTTTGAAAAACAGGTTTTTTATTTTACAAGTTTTTTTTCTCTTTTTTATAAATCTATTCATTCGACTTCCGCTCTGGTATCCATATTAGCCTCACTCTCATCGAGCGGACGGCCTCTTATGCAATGTGGGTTGTTTTTACCATTCACTGCGTCTTCTGTAACGTGAACACTCACGACATCTGATCCAGGTATCTCAAACATCGGATCCAAAAGAATAGTCTCCTGAAACAGAATTGAATATTACATACAGTGGAATCATAAAATTAAAAAATTATACCGATTGTTAAAAAAAAAAAAGATTTTATTACATTAATTGGAAACCAAACTGACAATTTTATTATTACAATTAGCATACTTTTTAATTTAAGTAAAATTGTAACATTGAATGAAATTTCGATATAATATGTAGTTTCGAGTGTTGGTTATTTCAACCTACTATATTATTTTTTTTGTTATAAATTTTGTTTATAAACCAATACATTGTATTTTAAGTATGTTTTCTACTTTATTGATTCGCACGTAAATTAAATATCAATAAATGCATACCACTATAGCTCGTAATCCACGTGCTCCCGTATTTTTTTCCAGCGCTTGTGCAGCTATTGCTCGAAGTGCGTCTTCGGTGAATGTTAAATCTACTTTGTCCAAGCCAAATAGTAATTTGAATTGCTTGATTGTACTATTTTTTGGTTCTGTTAAAATTTGGACTAATAAGTTTCGATTTAAAGAGTGAAAAGGTACAAGCACTGGAAATCTGCCCACAAATTCCTAAAAAGTATATATACATATAAATAACAACAAACACATACATTTTTATGATAATTAATAATAAATATTATATAATAATACATTTAAAACAATATGTATTTTTCCAAAAATATAAATTTGGTGTAAATGTGAACTCAATTAGGGTCAAGGTGTCCAAGTGAAACAGTAAGGTCATTCTGATTTGTCAGTGACCTTTTACTTTAAATGTAAATGTTACTGTTTATGAATAAATTTTAAAGATTTTTGTACAGACAGACGACAGTTAAGCATAAGTTGTTTTGATGTTTAAAGTTTGGTCGACAAGTGAAACAATCTGAGTTTGTTCCATGAACGGTCGACTAAATACAGCCAAACTAGAACAATTCTACATTAATACTTGTTAGATACCATCAGTATAATTTCCAGTTTTTAAATCCTAAAAACAAAGAAAAATGTCTAACCTTTTTAGAGTGAAAGGAATAACGTAATATTTTATTAAGTTAAAAAGTTGAGAAAAATCTATCGAAAATTTTGACAGGCTAATTTGGAAATGGTAAAAAAAAAAAACAATTGTTTCCAATAAAAAAAAAAAAACGTGGCTTACATAAAACTTTCACCTAAAAACAAATTAATTATAAACAAATATTACAAAATATTATTATCGACTGGTGTTTATAAGATTAAATGTATTTTTTGTAATAGTTTTGTTAGTTCCTTATAAAGAAAAAAAAATGTTTACTACAGATTATTGAAACCATTGTACGTGTTTTAAAGGTACACTAGATCTATCTCCAATATAATTTTCAGTTCTTAATTTGTTAACTACACGCGATAAACAAAATAAAGTAAGTTTTTACGTCCTGGTAGTGAAAAGTGTTAATGATATTTTCTTTAATTTTCACTGGTTACTAATAGTACTTACTATCAATAAAAAAAATTTCAAAAGAAGTTTGAAAGTAATTAGACTATTAAAAAAAAAAAGCAATATAGGTGCCATCATTTTAAGTTTTAAAATTGAACATCATTTTGTGGGTTTTTTTTCTAGATTTTCAAAACAAAGGGGTAACAAATTTTCATATTTGAATTTGTTAAGTACCTTTTGGGTACTATTTCTGATCTAAGACTTGCTACATGACTAAATCAAAGCAACGGCTAAAAAAAAATATTCTGGGTCTAGAGGCACAAAAGTAAAAATACATATCATTGTAAAGCCAATATCTTATCTGATCTGCATAAGCTAAAAAAATACCCAAGTTGATTAATGATACTAGTACTTACAGGGATCATACCAAACTGAATGAGATCTCTTGGCTCTACTTGTTTCAATAAACCGTCTCTTTCGGCATTTTCTTTTTCAATGTCAGTATGATCAGCTAATGCAGATGCTATACGGTCAGTATCAGCTGCTGCTCTTCTACTTCCCACCGATTGACTGTTTTCTTCAGAACCAAAGCCAAGACTCTGAAATAAATGTTTAATTGTTTTAAGCGATAAATAGAAATAAATGATACATATTTTATACATAAAAACCTAATTTCCATTTAAGTAAACAAACTGACCCATTAAAATTGTGTTATTCAAATTAAAATAATGATATTTATTAATTGCAAAAAATGAATTAGTAAATACTCACATTCATATTAGTTCTACGACTTATTAGTCTGTGAAGGCCAGTAAATGCACCAGAGGCGACAAATAGTATGTTTGTGGTGTCCACCGAAATTGTTTCATTCCGTAGTTTTCGGCTATTTTTATCTGGTACATTAACAACTGTACCTTCAAGCATCTGTCGAAATATGACAAAAACAATAGATTAAAAAAATATGCTCAGCTCACAAACAATGGTAATTACACAAATAATACATTGATGGTTACACATCAAAAGGGTTTTAATGTCACTTTGGTTCTAAGAGACATAAACAAATGTGCTTCATCCAAAGTGAATACAAAAAAACAACAAGACAGTTGAAATTTTAAGTTTAAATTATAGGACACTTTCGATTTTCCCCGCTCAGAAAATAGGGTCTAAATAACAATGCTTTAAAAGTTGTAATTTGTCTAAGTTTAAGTGATAAAGGAAAATACTGATTTTTAATACTAATTAATAAGCCGACTGTCGACTAATTGGTTTACATGCCATATATTCTTCTACAATATTGCTTTTGAACCTTACCAATATAATTTTATTTTATAAAAAAAATTACTTTTAACATTCCTTGTTGAACACCTTCGCCTCCGACGTCCCTCAGTTGATGAATTCCAGGTACAGCACCAATTTTATCAATTTCGTCCAAAAAAACAATTCCTAAAATTATATTTCTTCAGTAAGTTATTATTGATGTTTTTTAAAATTATTTATGTATTGGACAGCAATGGTCATGCATGGCTACAGCCCAAAGGTCATCTGTTCACAAATGTGTCTCTTAACAGAGATTGGTCGTGCACTACTACCAAAATATTCATCATCACGACAAACAAGCTTTAGAATCGGGGTTAAGGAGAAATAAAATGAATCTATTAAGATAATACCTGTTTGAGCTTTTTCAACATCATAATCAGCAGCCTGCAAAAGTTTTCCAATGACACTTTCAATATCTTCTCCGACATAACCGGCTTGTGTTAAATTGGTACAATCACAAATTGCAAACGGAACATCCAAATGTCTCGCAATAGTTTGCGCCAACAATGTTTTTCCTAATTGCCATATTAATAATGGTAAAATTAATAAACAAAAACTCAGATATTGATTTCTAATGTCAAGATTAATGTATTACCACATCCTGTAGGTCCAAGCAGTATGATATTACTTTTCTCTAAAATTGTATTTTTAAGCAAAGAAGGAAATTCATCACTTTCTTCGTCTGTCTTTGTGTTTTCCAAGTGTGGCATTCCGATTGTGTGACTGGCAGAGAAATGTTCTAGAGTTTGAATAATAATCATATGTGATACATTCAAGTAAATTAAAACTAAACCAATATTATTTAATATGTTATAAAAACCTTTTGGATTCTGTATATTATCAAGATATCGCTGATCGATTAAATCGTGCTTATGCGGTGCAGTAATATTGTGAAGGATACGTTTACAGTGGTTATAAACTGCTACGGATAGTACTTTCTTCGCCAACTTTTGTCCTATCACATACTTATTTAAGTTTTCGAAAATCTAAAAATAAAATTACGTATAACCATTATTATTATTTGATACGACTTTTTACAAGTTGTGATTTTAAAAATAAATGTCTCACTAAGTAGCATTTTTTTTTATATGTCTTAATAATTAATAAGAAATTATGACTACTATTTATAAGTTGTTTAAAATAAATAACATGTTATAGGTTATAAAAAATATCTTAAACGAAAATAATTTCAGTTTATTCAGAGTCTGTCTTGGGAGGGAGGGCAAGTATACCAATTAGCACATATTTATGCCGTAGAATTTTCAGGACCGGGTGGAAGCATTTTAAAGGCAAGAAACACATGAATAAACTAACTTCTTTTGGTATAGGCGGTGGTTTATGTTTACTTTTCCCATCTGTAGCCATGTCTTTTAAATTGTTTTCGTCAGACGATATCATTTTAAAAATATGAAAACATTTCTGACATCTTAAAAACCGGTTAGTAGCTAAAACAAATAAAATATTATTCTATGTACGATAACTCAAATGATATGATATCAAAATATTACTTAAAAAGAATTCTAGTTGGGAATCTGCGCTTTTACATTTTGGACATACTATGCCAGTATGAATACGATTATTTCCTGACCCTGAATCGTTTACATTCCAGGCACTCGTCGATGAATGGAAATTTCTTTGATGAACAGTGTCCTCCAGTTGATGACCATGGGTCAAAAACTCTTAAAATACAAGGACAAGGTTATTAAAGAGTACACACAATTTTTAAATACATTTATAACATTCAATTTATACGTACTCAAATTTCTAGACAGTTTTAAATGGCTAATGTACAATTTGGAATGCACACAACTCGAGCACAAATAACGTAATTTGGACGTCATCTTGGAAAACTGTGATCAATAAATATTTATTAGTTTTTAATGGTAACATTTTTTTTGAACAACTGATAGATAATTACACATAATGGGGAAGAAAAAAAAATAGAATATAATAAAATAAGAACGTACCTGACAATCTAAAATAAATTTTGATGCAATTTTTATAGTACTTAAGTGTTTTTTTGATTGGAAAAAAATATATGGTAAACCGAACACTCGGGATTTCGATTAAAGAACTACTGAGTACTGACTACACCATTGATAATACGAAATATAATATCAATGCACCAAACACGTACCAAGGTACTGGCAATGACTGTGCTGCAGTGAGCAATGAAGCCCAAATATTTATTATAATATTGATATTAAAATTTAGCACTGCTAACTGTTTTGTTTTTACTTTTATCTATCCAATGATAACAAGGTCAATTAATCAGCTGTGTTGTTATTATTGTATTATAACATTATGTTATAGATATATTATTGTTTTATAATATATCTTATCTTTATATATAAATTATATAATGTATATACTTTTGCCTTGACTGTTAGAAAAACGCAATAAAATAAATAGTACCTACTTAAAGCCATGCCGTTAGTAGCTAATACTATAGACAATAATACTAACAATTTACAATATTGGTTATAACTATTTAACATTACAGCCATTTGTCAATATAATATCAACTGGCTATAGCAAAAGTTACCAATCGGTTTTAGCAGGTTCTTAAGCATTATAATTTAATTACACAAATTCTTAAGGCTATACCACAAAATAGATTAAATTGGTCTATTCTGTGACTATACTATATTACGTCTGTGTTAAAAAATTCTCTTATGAATCAATACGTTGTATTGGTCGGTCGTGAAATGATATGAAAATAGTTATTATTTGATTATTAAAATCGCACTTTAACGACTGCCCTGGTTTAGCTATTTGTATTGTTGATGTTATTAAAATAGCTAGTGTTGAAATAACAATACGCAGGAGGTCAAATCTAATAAGAAAAACAAATATGTCATATACCTGGTATATAAATCATTTAACAACTAGTATTTTGATCATAACCCTTAGAGTAAGGTCTATGATTTTATATTCTTTGATCAACTTCATTTATGTTGATAAGCTTGATTATAATATTATGACGGACTCTAAAAGATAATTAAAATTTAAAACGAGTTAAGAAGTTTACAGTTTACTTAAAATACACATGATTATGCATTAAAGGATTATTGCTCTCACGATGATCTATTTTAGAATGATAAAAAGTGCTATAGTAGCTGTAACTCTTGGGGTAACCTGATTTCATTCTTTGAATTTCTATCTAAAACCTTATGTGTTTTAGGATATCCAAGTATACCTTAATAAAACATCGAAAACGTTGACTTTGTACACAAAGTTATCTTCTTAAGCTTGGAAACTTAGTTTTCCAGGATCTGATGGTGATTATGATAGTAAGAAAAATGATTGATATAAGAAGTACTTAAAAAGTATTTGTACTTATAAAGTATTTCGCATATGTTATATTGTGTTTATTATAATTTCATATATTCTAACAATAATATTATGTAAAACTTATAGGACACACCATACTTATTTATAAAGTATAGGTATTTTTTTAAAAATATAACTTGATATTTAGTTAACATTTACAAATGTCGTGTACTAACTTGTCAAAAGAAAATCATGCTGATGTTTAATATATTTTGTTTCCAATTGTTACTGTACAATAATTATTGTGCAACTATTATACTTTACTAAAACGTGTCTCCGGTTAGACGACAGACTCTCCTTAAGAAATTGAGCGGTTTAAGCGTAAAATACATCTAAATATAAATTTCAATACTTACCTATCGAAACACTATCTGGATTCTGTTGTAAGGCGATTTTTGATGAAGTTATTAGAAGCCGAGTTATAAAGGTGTTGTTTTTACCCCAATATTACTAAGGTTTATGACTAGATAAACTCTCCATAGGTTTATTATATTATGTATAAAATATAGATGTACTTTTGCGATAAAACTTTTTTTTCTTTTCTTCTCTGTTGTTCAGAAAAGTTCATCTCTCGAGACAAGTTAAGATGGTTTAGAGAGGGGACCAAAACAAAATCTTCAAGTCTTTCATCTTTACTGTACAAGACGTGACGCCTAATAATAATATTACACCTAATAACAAAGCGGATTTATAAAATGACACGATTTCACAATATTGTCTACATTTTAGACGAAACCTTTCAAGTAATACATAATATTAATTATTATGTAAAGTTATATCAAGCTCCATGTTTTGTTAGGTTTAGCAATACGAGATCTTTAGAAATAATTTTGCGTCATCTAAAACACAATGGAACACACACGAAGTGATAAAAAATAAATAAGACAAGAGAAGACGGTAATGAATAGAAGGTTAAACAATAAAAAGGAGATAAATGACCTCCTGTCGCGGCGTACATCGGATTACAAATTAAATCGAAAACAACCGTTTATAACGCTAATTTGTTAATACTTAAAAAAATTAAAAAATATTATATACATTTTTGATAATTTTTCATTGTTCAACAGTTACCAACAAAAGTAGCATTTCCTTAACCTAGTCGGTAGTCGCACTACGGTATCGGCACGTACTGAAGACGATGACTACAGGATGTTGAAATACCCTTTCTATTGGCTAAAACAAGTCATCCAGATGTTAATTGTCATCAGTTGAAATATTGTCCAAAAGTAATTATAAGTCTTGGTCAGATAAGTCGTTATTGTACTGACAATAGAAACTGGTAAGTTGTAAGGCGTATCTTTTTATGTAAGTTATTTTACGAATAATATTACATAACAAATGTCTAGCTTTTGTAATCAATAAACATTATGTTAGCGTCCAAAATTTATATCAGGGAGGTGGTGACATTTTCGTGTTAAACATTTTGTCTTTAAACGTTTTAGAAGACCAAATTTAGCTAGAATTTAATAAGAATTTGTATATACATATACATACATACATTTTTATAAAATCACGTTATTCTTATGTAATTTGGAAGCAAATGAGTATAGCCAGTATACAGTGTAACAATGAATCAGTATAATAATATGTAATTAAAAATCAATTATACGCAAGCATGAATGTAATACAAGATATTTTACTGAACTAAATAATAATAATAATAATTATAAAAATTAGTGGATATTATTATATCGCAAACCACAAGTTTATATGGAATTAAGTGGTAAATGGTAATATATAAAAAATAAAATTATCACAGATTTTGAAAATTCAAAACAAATTTGAATTTTAAACATTAGAATGGATTAATCATGACTTTGGTGATTAAGTTAACTCATTTAAAATATGAATAAACGCTTACTATAAAATCGAGATTAAAGTATAAAATATATAATAATAATATTCTTTATATAGCAATTATCATAAATTAAACATTTTAAAGGAATTATAAATATATGAGAAAATAGTATTAAATAAGATAACAATAATTGTTTGCATTGTTCACGATAAAATTAAATATAAAATGACATCCTTAAAAAAATCAATACATCAATCTAAATAGTTATTAATTTTTCAATAAGGAGAAAAATCTTTCTTTAACAATGGTGGAGGCACATTACTTGTTGTAGTACTTGAGCGACCCTCCGTTAAGTAGCCACCAGTACTTTGAACACCTGGAAAATATTTAATATTAGACAAGTATAAAACCATGAAACAACACTGTCATAATAATTAAAACCCATCAGTCTAACCCATTAGGTATGGCATTGACGGAGCACTAGATATAAAAAGATCATGGTTTTGATCTTTGTAAGCCGACCACGCTGGAAGTTTATCCAACTGTGCTTGTACTAAACTCCCATATGATATGTTCATGGACATGGTTTTTAAAGCTTTAACAATTTGTGCTTTCGCTCTGGCGCTACCATCAACACCATCTAATTTACCATCTAACAATCCAACTAAATAAGTTATTAAATCCGCGTCCAATGCCTGTAACAAAAAAAAAAAATTTTGTTCACTGTAATTATTATTATTTTTTTTAGTTAAAACAAAAGACAGCGTGTTCAGTACTTGTTTAACAAGATAGTCTTTTCTAGCCGCAAACATTCTACTAAGAGTTTCTGATGACACGCATACTAGATTGGAATGTGTTTGCATTGCTTTTTTCATTGGACCAATACATTCAACTTGAGATATACTCCCGACGCATACCTAGTAAAATTATAGCTTTAATTATGTACTAATACGACAAAAAATAATTTAACGGAATGAAATCCAATAGTTATAGACTTTTGTACTTTAAAAAAAACAATTCCCGATTTCATTCTTTTAAAATTACCTCATTTAACGATAGCTGATGTAAAATCATAAGAACTGATTTGGGTACATCGGGATTAGAGAGCAGCGACAACTGAAAACAAAGTCTAGGAATGTGGCCTAAAGATGGAACCTGATCGCTTAAATGAGGTTGTGCTTCCAAAAGCTTAACAATAGACGTTGTTATAATTTCTAATTGATTATTCTGCAAAATGAGAGTAAATTATTATTTGATTATTTCGAAGAGGTAATATATAAGTAAATGTTTTATAAATCATACTTTTTCTTTAGTCATCGAACTTATACAAGTGTCCAAAAGTTCGGACAAGAATTCCTTAGGCCTTCTAACATTCCAACCAGGATTATTGTTAAATAGTCTTAAATAAACACCGGCAACAATTGTTTCATTTGATGGTGTTGACAATAGTAAACTCGTGTCTGGCAACTTGACAGATCCTTTCGGATTTTGTCTTATTAGGCTAAAATGCCTGTAATTAAATTCAATAAAATTATAAATAAAAAAGATATTTACTATTAAAATAATCAGATATTACTCTTTAGATATTTTGTTGATGCTGCCATAAATATATTTTCTCGTTTTCTCATTCCATACAAGCTCGGGATTTTCTTGGTCATTGTCCAATAACTGTATTGTAGACGATGGTAAATCTCTCATAGTGTCAACTATAGCTAATGGTAAAATTTGAGCCAAAGCTAAACGTAATCTCGGACCGCTCAATTTGTCTGCCATTAGGCGACTTAGCAACACTGCACTTCTATCTCTTAGACCGGAATCGTTACTGCCGTTGCATAATAAATCTACGGCGAATAAGTGGCCTCCTTTATTTAAAATGTCTTTGACGATCGTTGATGAAGTCGCTAACGTTATTAAGATATCCAAGATTATTATCCGATCCGAGGGAGCAGAATAAAGGCAGAGTAGTATATAAACAACTACTCCGGAATTAGCGATATCTGTGACACATTCGTTGTTTTTAGTCACAGTTAATATTATGTTCAAAGCACAATTTTGTACCAAAGAACTATCGACACGTAATAAACTGAACAATAAATCAAAGTGACCAATACAGTTCACTTCCAAATCTAAAAACAAAAAACAAAATTTTTTATGGTTAAGTATTTCAGCATTACTTATTTAATTATTGCAAAATAAATAAACACATACTAGGATTGTTGAGAATCAAATTATTCAAAGCATTTAACACCATTACGAAATGAACCATCCGTTTTTCATCTAAAATGTTATTCGTAGGATTATTTGCTTTTACGTTTTCTATGAGATCTGATAAAAATGCTATAGGATTCTGTAGAAATGCATAGTTTATATTAACAACAAATAATATTATTCTATTTACTTCTTGATTACAAAACAATAATATTGTTTTTACCTTAATAGTATAATGAGGTTGTTCGTTAAAAACTCTAATAAATATATTGCCCACTATTAGTTCATTGCGATGACTAGAAAAAGTTAAGCCGACTTTTTCTAAATTAACCACTTCTTTACGATTACACATTGTGTCTAAGAAATCGCCAAGTTCGGCTCTTGTACTATTATCCCAAACTAAGTATGGTGTCTCGCAGTTACTGCCAAGAATTTTCAACAGCTAAAAACATTTTATGTTATTCGTATAATTTTAAGGAAATTAAACAAAACTAAATGAATTAATAAATACTTCATGTGGATTTTCCTCTAAAAGTTGTTCAGCTACGTAAGGTGTAAGCAATTTTTCAAATAAAGATTTTGCGATATAATTTTCTGGAGTAGCCAAATCATCTTTATAGTAACCGCCTAATCTAGCACACGCCTGAACTGACAATTTAGCTAATCTGTTCAGCACTTCCTATAATATAATCAAATTAAAATAATGGGTTTATTTTTCATGGAGCTTATTTAATAAAATAATTATAATGTAAAACAAAAATACAACATGATATCGATGCTCATTGGATGAAGTAACGTATGTTAAACTTGCATTAAAAAAAAAATATTTCATTCAAAATTTGGTGCGATAGAGCATATTTTTTTATAAGGTAAATGAATAGTATTAATTTAGTCGATATTTGTGTCCATTTGTGTTAAAATATATATGACACAAGCATGTTATTTTTTTTGTCACACATCAAAATAATTTTTCTTTTTTGGAATTATTCCTCTACATATATATTATAGTAGATTTAATGATAAGTAAGTTACTTGATTATTAGCTTCTTCTGTGCGTTCTACACCACATTCTTCTAGTGTATAATCATAGGAAAACATATAAGTGAGTAAATGCCAAACAGCTCCTTTTTGTAAAAAGCTATTTTGGAGAATGGAGTCAGAAGCCATTGCATAAATACATTCTACTGCATCACAGCACAACTTTGGTAAATTCTACAAATATATATATAAAAAAAAAATTGTTTAGTTATAAAATATCATATACTGTTAACAGTATATCAAATTAATTAATTCGCACATTTATAAAACAATTGGGATAACTTATTATTAGTGGTAATAATGACACTGTAAAACATAATAAATTTTGAAAGAAGAACAAACATTTTTTTTTTTAAAACGCTTCCTAACAACTTACAAAACAAAATTTTATAAAATTTCGGAAAAGTTTTAAAACACAATTATTATATTTATATTTTGGTTCTTGTTAAAAAATTAAGGTAAAATTCTGTCATACAGTGTACTAATAACTTTAAGTGGGTGGTCGTAATTTTTATTATACTGGATCTGACATTACAAGTAGATTCCAAATAAGTAAAAAAAAAAACAAAATCTCTAATTTTTTTATATTTTTGTTTTAATTTGTATGTTAATTTATTTGAGTGAAAAACAAGGCATTCTATATAAAAAAAAAAAGAAAATTAATTTTTTTCTTGTGATTTTTAAATTAAGTGGGATACTATACTACACTATACACTTTTTATTATTATAATTCATTTGAAAATAATAAAGTTTTTAAATTTAGTTTTGTAAATAACTTGAAGTTTGATCGACTAAATATAATTTCACCATTGAAGACAAGGCTCCAACATAAAAAATTCTCCTAAAAACCCGTAAAAGGACCGCTTGCAGTTAAAATTTAATTTACTTAATATTTATTTTTATTTTTTAAAAAGTAAACATTAAAAAAAGTATTTTTAAATAACAACATTTTAACTTTATACGACAGTCAATTTGTGATAATTCTATTTGTTCCAGAAAAGTTAACATTTATGTAACTCGGTTAACAAAAAAAAGTAGTTTTTATCATTTTTATAACGTGTAAAATTTTTTTTTGATTCAAATAAAACATTCTTAAGGTTAGACATTTGTTTGTTTTGTTTTAGTTATAGAACAAAACTTTAATTTTGGTCGAAATTTAACCCATTCTTATTAGTAATAATAAAAAAGTAACCTTGAAGTAAAGTATTCTCGTTATGTCATTAACTAATTGTGTCATCTGAGAGAAGGTATCGCGACACATGGCGAACTGAGATGCCACTTTAAAGCAACGAGTGCAGTTTATACAAACAGACACTGACATTTCTGTATGCTCTGACGATTTGTTTAGTACCGAAACACACCTGCTGTAAGCGCCGAGCAAGTCCTGAAAGAACAATGAACACATATTAATCAATAATGTATCTTAAGTGTTTTTTTTAAAAACATATTTGTAAGTATCTTATAATAAAAATGTAATTCTTTGTATTTTTTTAAACAATTCGTTTTTTACTTACGACAAATCCTTGTTCTCGATTAAGTTCTTCTGCATTCAATGCTGAACATTTTACTGTATGGTACGTTAGTTCACTAGCGGCCGATAAAAGCATATTGCCTTTAGAGAACAATTGTTCATCACTAGCTTCTAATCTAATAGTCTTTACTAATTGTTTGTATCCAGCATATTTATAAGGCTCCAGTTCTACAAAAGAACGCATACAAAGCACAAACAGTAATTTAATGTTATTTCAAGAGAAAACACATATAAAATGAATTACCTGTTGAGTAGCGATCAAATAAGATGCTTTGGGTTTGGAGTATTAGCAATATATTGTTGGGATTAGGACCGTCATGTCCCCACAGACTTCTACTGCAAAGAAAATCATAAGCTCTGTTTGCAGCCACAAATTTTTCCTAAAATATATTAGATACACACATATGTTTATTTAAAACGTTCATATATTGATAAGACTTGATTTATTTTGAAATATAATATGGTTCATAATAAAATATCAATAAATCTAATTTTAATATTTATGTAAACTTACACGTCCTTTGGGGTTCTTATCCGGATGATTGACTTGCGCAATTTTATAATACGCTTTTCTAGTAGTAGCTTCGTCATGATTACGCCCACGTTCTAATCCAAGCGATTCATAAGCATCATCCACAGACATTGTTGGAGGCTTTTTTTCTACTTCATTTTTCCATGCTTCCAGTACGTCTTTCAGTAATGTGATCTGTTTAAGAAACAAAAATTCAATTATTTCTCCAATAAATCTAGTGTAACGATATATGTGCAATGTATTCTTACAGGATCATTAATTGGCCAGTCGGGAAATCTTTGTATGTCACATAAATGACGTAAATAGAAAATATTGCAAAATAATTCAGCTTGCAATTGAGGATAGCGTACAACTGGTATAGCACAATATTGATACTTTGCTCGGTTATTGCCACGAAGTTTAGGTGTGAAATCGGCTATATGACAGGCAATCTTTTCAATTAACATTCGTCTCATTTCAGCGTTCCAAATAGCTTCTGGCGTGTCAAACTCTCCTAAGAATATTTGAGCAAATTTTTCTGGACCGTGGTTTTCTAAATAATATACCATGGCTTCTGGCAGTAACGGTCCAAGTACACTTCTTTGCATCAACTCTCCGCTTTGTACCTAAACATTAAATGTTTAAATATGTAAAATCAATATTTTTATAATTGTTTCGTTGAAATACTAAAACTATTTTTATTTTACTAACTTCTTCACTTCGAAAAGCCTGACAAGTGTGTGTAAGACGCAGAAACCGAGCAATTGGTAAAATATTTGAACCGGTATACATAAGTAAGAAGAAAAATACACCAGTCATGTACAATTTAGCAGCATTGGGGTTGTCTGATGCTACTTCACACAGTAAAGCGGCAACCTTCTCAACAAGGACAGGATCAAATGTGAGCAATAATTGTACTATATGTGGTAAATTGAGTTGGTCGGTTAGAATTCTTCTTATACGTGCTATCGGCCAAATAATTGCTCCATCATTGTCTCTAAAAAAAAAAAAAAAAATTAGCATGAATAAAAATTTAGTGTAAATCAAATACAATATTAAATCATTCGTTTTAAGTAAGTTAATACAAAACAATGCCGTAACGTTTGCAAGATATACATTTTAACCTACTATTGGTATTTTTTAATTAAAATATGGATCAACTTGAACTCTGACAAACTGAAAATTTATTTTAAACAAGTTTGGGAAGGACTCCCAAGTGATTACATCTGATATAAAACTGACTTCAAAGTATAAAACCTTAAACTAATACTTAACAGTGTAGATGTCCTATGACTATTTTAAAAATAATTTGTTTTCAAATAAAAAATGATACATATTTATATTTGTATTTATTGTACAAACAAAATATAGTTAATTTCAAATATCTTATTAAATGAATAAACTAATTTTTTAAATATTCACCTGCTTGGATAATATTGACACATTTTTATGAGCATTGATAAAATTAACGATGCTAAATCACTTTCATTCATGTAACCTTGATCTTTAGCCATTAAAGTCCATTTGAATTGGCATAGCTTATGAAGAGGTTTCCATCCTTCTAGACCTTGGGTCCAGCATTTAGTAATAGGTTTTAATACACCTTCTTTGTACAAATCTTGCATCTAAAAAACAACCAAAAATTTGATGAAAATTATTTAAATAATTTATACAAAGCGCAAACTTTAATACCTCTTTGAAAGTCAAAGGACCATGTGATTTGTCGCTATTTCCTCCAACACTGTAATACCATTGTTTCTCATTATCGTGTAACATATTTTGGCCGGCTTCTATAACGTTAGTTTGAGTAGGAACAACAGCTCTGGTTGTATGTAAATGAGCCAATGTCAACAAGTCAACAAGAACTATTATGCCTTTACACTCAATTATATCTTTCACGTTTTGTTTGTTTAGAATTAGTTTACTCAGAAATATGATTAACCTATCTCTTTCAGATTTCTCGATAGCCTAAAATTAATATTACAAAATGATCTTTGTAAGCGCGTCAACATTATATTTGTAAGATAATTAAACACATTCTATTACATAAATTACAATGAATATTTGTTTAATGAGCATTAAAAATAAATTTACCTTCTCTAATTTGATAATAATATATTTTGTATCTGTGAAAGGTCCAATATCTTCATAATACTGGCCATAAATCACAGTCATTGCTTGTAAACATAAGCATTTCATTTCAATTTTTAAAGCTAATAAAAATCGATGGTATAAATCATAAAAAAATCGAAACCTAAAAAATAAAAATAAATTTAAGTTTAACATTATAGAAAAAAAAGTTAAATACTTTTTTCTTACGGATTTTTAATGGCAAAATTAATACTCCCGTCTAGGAGTAATCGTAAGTAGTAACCATCGATACAAACTTCATCTTGTAAACTTGGATAGGTCACCTCAAATTCGTCGTGATTCCATGCAATTAAATTATTTGTAGTTAACTGTCGATCCGAATTAAACGTTTGGATCTCTTTTTTCAATGCGTCATGCAGTTCTTCACGAGTCTATCGAAGTAGTAAAATAAATTATAATTGATTTTCACTTTAAATTCATAAAAAAAAAATGAAAATCACACTACCTGATGATTCCACAGGAGACTAGGTGATGTGTGATTTTGATTGAACTTGTAGTAGAATAATTTCCAATTTGCAGCACTCTTAACTCTTTCCCTACGTCTCCTTAATACGATTGGTCGAGCTTGTAGTTTATCATCTTTTCTTTCTAAGCCTAAAGACGTTCCCCAATGGCCCAGAGCTATTTCGACTTCTTTCTCAAATGTACGAAACTTCCTTTCCAACGCTACTAGATGAGGATTTCGTTGGTTCTTTGCTGCATGGTCTTGAGCTAGTTTCAAGTTATCTCGAGTAATTAAAGGATCGTTGTTTTCAGTATACTCTACCGTTTCTTTTGACTCCAAAAATCCAATTAAACCTGTTGGCTACATAAAACAAAAAAAAGCATTATTAAATACTTTATTTTGTATATTTAGATTGTGTTGTATATTATTTTACCATCATTCGGGATAAGAGATCCATGGCAATGGAGTTGTTTGTGACCCAAAGACCAACTAAATGCCTCGAGAGCTGCCTATGAACTAGCATTCGCTTGTTATCGTCACGAGTGAACAATGCAGTTAACAAATGACTTGGTAATGCTGCTTCGGCCAATGCTAGTTCTTGCATTCTTCCTGAAATTTCGGCATCGCCTTCTTCAATAATTGCTCTCATTACTAATCCTGCACCTTTTACAACGGTCAATGAAGGGTGCTAAATCAAAATAATTTAATTAATTTAAGTATACTTTTATTATTATTATTATAATTAATCACATAACTCAGTGGTGCAACAGCGGGGGAGTTCAGGATATAAGCAATAAAAAGTAGTTTTAAAACATATTATAATAATACTATACGCCATATTATACCGTAATTGACTTTTGCAAATCTCAAACCATTTATTAGATATGAATTTTAGTACCCTTTTTTTTGCCTTATAGTGTTTTTTTTTTAAATTTAAATATATCACATTGTTTTTAAGATTAATTAACCTGGGTAACTTTATAGATATACTATTGACTTTTCAAAATCCTATCAACAAAAAACTTATTTTGTTTTTGTTTTTTAAAATACATTAAAAAAAAAAAACTTTTTTTTAACTACAAATAGATAAAATGTTTTGCTCACAATCAGATTAGTCCTAAAATATGACAAGTAGTCAAACACATCTCAACAAAAATTATAGTATACATTGTAAAAAAACAGATGAAATAGATTTTTTCAATTTTTACAAAATTACACATCAAACAATGAAATTAATTTTAAACAAATATATATATTTCAAATAAGAAAAATATTGTAATTATAATTTTATAATATAATAATCATAATTACTTGAAAAAGTTGAAATAAAAACCTTCCTCGTTTAGCAACTAAAGCCAATAATGTATCAAAGTGTGTTCCATCAGTCGTTTCGCTGTACGGAACACACAAAGCGAATGTAAGTATATCCAACATGGCACTGACTACTAATGCTCCCGTTCCACGTTTCTTATGAAAAAAAAATCATAGTTGTATAATAATGTTTTATATTTATAATTTATTTAAAACTAAACTCACTATGTGTTCAACCCACATGTCAAGTAACGATTCGAGAAAACTAGGTGTAGCCAAAAGGGATGCCTTGTTGAGCTGCTCTTGTCTTATATCACTATCCCGATGCATAGGTTGCATCAGTGTGCAAATCATGTCTAAAGCAGCGTGCGTAATTGCTTCGTTATCTCGTTTCAACGCTCGAGTCACTTTTCGGCCGAGTTTATCTTTGAGCCTGATGAATAAATTTCGGTTAAACAAAACAATTCTATACTTTGTAAATGTTAATATTAATAAAATTGGTTGTAATTCGTACTCTGGTAACATGATAAAGGTAGAAAACCCAGCTTTGGTAGCGAATAACCTTCGTAATGCATGGAATTGTGCTTCTAATTCATGAACGGGTATTTCATTTTGATCACCTTGATGTGCAATTATTGAAGTGAGAGCCATAACAATTAGTTTTTCTTTATTTTCAGTAAATAATTTCTGTAAACAAAAATACAATAAAATATTACATGGATACTGATATTAAACACATAAAAACAGTAACACAATTTTTATACTCTATTAGATTGTATTTAATCATCATTTTGTAGGAATCTTTAGAGATATTGATACTTTATTAAAATATCAATAAGAGACATTGGTATTTTAATACAATATTAATAACAGCAATTTTTTCCAACCTTTTTTAACATCAATATTGAGTTAAAATATCACAAAAAATAGTAAAAAATTAAATTCAACATCATAATTATACTAATATATAGGAAGACACGATAATGATTGTATACATTTTAATCTCGCTATTTTTAACAGGGGTAATTCAACAATACTTATTCTTTCTCCAGATGGTTCATGTTCAGAGAAAAAATGACCAATGACAAAGTTTAAGCTTATGACTAATGCAAAGTATTTTCGTGTTAACCTACTGGACTATGTCGTACTGCCGATGAAATCAATTTTAATAATTGCTAATTATTAATATCCTGAAGCAAAAGTGCTAAAGTAAATAATAATTGCTAAACATATTAATAAATTGATTTAAAATTCAGAACAAATAGAGAAACGGTAAAACGGATTAACACCGGAACAAAATTTAGGGAAATGAAACATTCTCAACTATTATAAATAAAAAAAATTGTTTAATTAATTACTTACGTCTTCTGAAACAGAATGTATTAAGCCACTATATTCAATATTAGCGTTAAATCTGTCTAATACATCTGCAAACGACTTTTTCGGAGGGGGTTCTTTAATACATTTCAAATGATTTGATTCAATCTAAAAATAAAATTACAAAAAAAAAATTAATTTTTTTAATTTAATTATTTTGTGTTAAATAAAATTTACTTCTTGATCAGGTGGCAAATTAAAAGGTATAAGTCTTTTATCTCGAGAAGTAGGAGAAATCTTAACATGTACATGATGATTTCCAGACGATCGCACACTATCTAGTAAAGTAGCTAGAAGAGAGTCCCTAAAAATATTTCATAAAATAACAATAATAACTAAAATACAATATTTATTTATAACAATTTTAATACTTTACCGATTCGTAGCGGTGTAAGAACGACAAGAAGAATCTGTATATTCTATGCAAAATTGTTGGGCATCTATTGGATCACGAATAAGAGCAAATACTGATGACAGTGGTCTCAATGTGACAACTGTATATGTTTGAGGGTCTCTTTCTAGCAAACATACTTCACTCAAGCAAAGTAAACGCCGCTGTGGACACTCTTGATGTCTTGGTACGCCAATTTTTTTTACTTGAAACTCACACACTGATGTAACGTGTTCATCTGAGCTGTAACGGCCCAATCGTTTTGCTAGAAACTCGCCGTGATTTAAACTGTGTCGAAAAAACTCTATGGGAATTTGTAAATAAATCATGGCTTTTTCTTTGACTTTTTGTAGAATATCTTCTCGGGACGAACTGATAAACAAGTGCTAGTAAAAAATATAAAAAGACAATAATCAATTAACAAATCAAAATTCTAACGGTAATACTAACCATTCTTCCATAAGGGCGTGAAATAATGACAAAACCTCCAGGTATGTCTTCGACATTTTGAATGGCTTCTATATCTTTATAACGATAACTAGCAAGAATTTGGGCTGTTGCCGTATCCAATTGATCAACTGATATGGGAGTGACGTTAATTGTCACTGGCAAACGTGTATCGGACCAATGGTACTTAAAAGCTTCATATCTCTGAAATTTGTAATGTTTAAAAGAAATTACTCGACTTTATCATGTACATATAAATATAGTATACATTGTGATAAATTATTACATACAAAAGTATCATCTTGACCACGTTCGACAAATTGATGTCTATACTTTAAAGCATCTGTTAATAAGTTTGAACGTATGTCAGTAGAAAATTTATATCTATCCACTTTATTTTTGTCTTTCACAGATAATATAAAACCTCCAACATTTTGTGGATCGACTTGTATGGATATAATTTGGCTGTAGGTGTAACGATTAGTGACTTCCAAGCTATTTGGATTGTATGTCGTAATACCTTGGGTCCCAATACCAAAAATCCTTTTATACCTAAAAAAAATAATATATAACATTTAAACATATTACTATGAATAACTTTTGGAAGAGAACATTGTTAATAATATGTATTATTATTTTTGAAGGGAACCCAGTTTGAGACACTATGAATTGAAAGTGTCAGGCATCAGTATCATTTAATAAAAAATTATTACTATAAACAAATCAGAATTCAGTTTAATATATTATACTTGTGTGTTTAAGAATAACTTACTTGCCCCTCCACGAATGTTTAGTTACGTAGTAACAAACAACATCTGTGTTATTTGGAATAGGTATCATATTATCATCTATAAAAACAGATATAAAATTATATAATTTAACATAAAACAGATGGTATTTTCAACAATATAACTTTTATGTATACATATTTTCAAAAGTTGCTATCATAAAAACTAAGTTAAGAGGGGGAGTAAAACAAAAACAATATGAAAAAAAAAATTGTATTTCTTATTTAACCCTATGAGATATTGAGTGGCCCATGGTTAAAATCACCCTGTATATATGTGAAATAAATAAAATTTTAAGTAGATAATTAAATCTCAATTTCACAAGCTTAACAAATTAAGCATTTTTTCCACTAGGCACTTCACAGTTTTTTTCATACAGGCCGTATTTTGTAATATGATAAATGCAAGTTTTAGACTAGGTACTTACTAAAAAAACCAAAAACAATCAAGCTGAGAGAAATTCCTAAAAAAGAATTAATCTAATTGTTTTAAAAAAGACTTTTTTGTATGAAAAATAAATAAAGGTTTTCAAGAACATAATTCAGATTTGAGATTTTTTAAACCCTTAAATAATAATTTAAAAACCCGGATTAGGTTCCACTCTACGAACTACTAATGTGGAAATTAGTAACATAAAATAATTAATTACTTTTTTTTAAGATGATTTTAATTTTGTTTTATCTTTCATAAATAATGTGAATTACTTATAAAAGCTGTACTAAAATGTTTATTTTTATTAATTAATTTGCTTGCGTTTATTAGAATGTTACTTTTTTTTTTACTACACAAAACAATCTCTTTAAGCATCAAATAAATATTAGGTTGGAAGTTAGATAAATTACAAGTATTGGTATAAGTTTTCTGTTCATATACATGTATATATATAATGTAAATATAAAAGTATCAAATATACTTATAACAATATTAATAGTAAATAAAAAACTTGTGTAACGTTAATTCATTCAACTTAAAGTAAATACTTCCAAGATCTTAGATGAGCATAATATGTCATTGTATTCACTTAAAGTGCATTTGTGTATTATTCTAAAGAGTATATTAGATTTGTTAAAATTATAAAAAATTTAAAAAATAATAATTTAAAACATACTTCCTGGCATTGGAAATGTTTGTATAGCACTTTAACTCAAAACATTAACTTTTTATTGGCGACAACATTCGAATAAACGTATACAGATTAAGAACAGAATAATTGTTTATATTACACACAATACACAATTCAGAAGTGTAATTTTATTACTAGTAAGTAAGTAGTTGGACAAAAAAAAAACTTCAACATTCAATAATTTAGAAGATAAACATTGGTCAAAAGAGTGATAGACAATCACTATCACGTTATCAGTGGTAACAAAAACTAATATCATTTATCAAGGATATTTAAAAATTAAGAATCTAGTTATTTGACATTTACCGTTCAAATAAGTAATAATTTGTTATAAATAGTTCTATAAAAATTCAATTCAATTAAAAAATATTTGTTATATATTTTTCTAATGTAATCCTAAAATGTTATATCAAATTTTAATATTCTCCCTATTATTTGGCGCAAACATTGTAGACATTACAAAATGTATTAACAAATGCATTTTAAATATGTTCATAATATTGTTTATTAATAACCAAAATTCAAAAATTCGTAGCTTATAATAAAAGCATATTACGCTATATGAATTCTGTAAACTATGCGTTTTCGACGCAATTTGAATAGTTTATATTTTATGCCATTAAATAGTACCTTACTGTACTGAATTAGGTGTGCTTTGTAATTAAAATTCAAGAATTAAATAAAATTCACATACACATTTGAAATGAAGTTAAACAATTTTGGAAAATTTAAATGTTAAGTGTTATTTTGGTTGATTTCTCGGTACGAGTACCGAACGTATATTATTGGCAGAGAGTTTCAACAAGGAGTAGCATTATACACTACTTCATAAATTATACAAAATATTTTTAGGTATTCTGTAATAAATTATTTATTATATTGTTTTCTGTGCCTAAAAATAACCTTTATTTAATTTATGAAATACTACATTATGGCGCCATGCCTGGGTATCAAGGCTAAAATTGTTAAAATTTTATTAAGAATTCGTATAAGCTATTCCAATTAAAAATACGTTCTACGTTTTTACCTATTATTTATATATTTTTAAGAGAAGTACATGGTGTTGAAATTACGAGCGTTTAAAATAAAAATATTGTGTTTTGTAAATATTACGTCGACGGTCGAAATCCTAACAGTCAACTACTAATTTCATAAATTTATTAGTTGCCACTCGGCACGACGTCAAACAGCCGGCTTGGTCTTATCTAATTCTTATCAACAAAATCAATTGATAAGTGATAACGTAAAAAACAAAATATTATTATTTTAAAATTTACATTAATTAAAACAATTAATAAATATTTATTCATTTGGTTATTATTAATTTTATAATGTCGGACACAGAGAAATTTAAAAGGAAACAATTTGGAAATAGATTTTTAAAAAACGAAGAAGACGTTTTTAAGCATAATGCTTGGTATTACACCTAATATATATATTTTTTAACCATAATTATTTGATCAATTTTTTTTTAGGGATAATGTTGAATGGAATGAAGAGCAAGAATCACAGGCTTTAACACAAGTATGCGAACATGTACGTACAAAGATGTCCGAAGAAAAAGCTACTGATTTAGAAAACAACGCTGATCAATTTTGGGATAAGTTTTATTCAGTACACCAAGAAAAGTATGAAATCTTATGAATGGAAAGTTTAAAAAAAAACTAGTAAATAAACTAACTGTAGTTTTATTGTTGATCAAATAGAAAACTTAATAATGTATCTATTTATTTTTATGGCACTACTATTATTTACCATTTTCCACATATTATAACTATTTTTAACTTACTTATTACGTTTTAGGTTTTTCAAAAATAGATGTTGGCTTTTCACCGAGTTTCCAGAAATAACCTCATTGTACGACAGGAAATCTAGCTGTTTGTTGGAAGTGGGTTGTGGTGTTGGAAATTCAGTTTTCCCCATATTAGCTCATAGTGCGCAAAACAGTGTTCACGTTTATTGCTGTGATTTTTCCTCCAACGCCATAAGCATTTTAAAAACTAACCCAGAATATAATGAAAATCAATGTACAGCGTTTGTTTGCGATATTACTGCTGACGAATGGAATCCGCCATTTGCATTGGAAAGTCTGGACATAATTTTACTAGTGTTTGTCCTGTCAGCAATACAACCAGACAAGTATAGAGATTTTATTTTTTTTTCGACAATAATAGCTGTAGCATTTGTATTTTAAACATTTTAGACTAAAGCAAACAGTAAAAAAGTTTTACGAATACCTAAAACCAGGAGGCATGATTTTATTTCGCGATTATGGAAGATTTGACATGGCCCAACTTAGATTTAAAGAAGGAAGATGTATATCAGATAACTATTACAGTAGAGGAGACGGGACATTAGTCTATTTTTTTACACAAAGTAAATTGTATTTGTTGTTTTATTCATTATCAGCAGTTTTACAAGTCATCAAATTGTAGTGGATTGCCGTTTTTCAAAATGTACATGATTTTTTTCTAAATATTATATTTTCTTTAGACGATGTACAAGAAATTTTCGTCGGTGCTGGATTTCAAGAAATTCAAAATATAGTCGACCGCCGAATGCAAGTCAATAGGGGTAAGCAATTGAAAATGTATCGCGTTTGGATACAATGCAAGTATCAAAAACCCATTTTGTAGATTGTACAATTTGTTTTCTTCTAAAATCGGTATTCTAATTAAAATGGCAGTTGAATGTATTTAAAACACATTAATAAATACTGACTTAATTGGTTTTAACTGTATCATATTTTTCTAAATCAATTTCATTTTGTGACATAATGAGAAATAAAATAATGCTACAGTTAATTATTATTTATCTAATTCCCTTTTTTTTGTAATATGTCATCTATCTACAAAATAAATAATATAAACTTAATAAAATAAATAGTTATTTAACGCTAATAATTGGTAATAACTTATACTACAAATGTTCCATACATCGTGCTACTATAATTTGTAACTTAACTAAGTTAAAGTGACAATTTTGTAAAAAAAAAAAAAAATAATAAATCAAATTTTGTATTCAATTACTATAATAAACAGACATTATTTTTTACCTAGTGTAAGGAAAATTTTTGGTTACATAAAATATAGTTATAAATTATGCGGCTGAACATAGTTATAATAATAATAATAAAATTAATACTTATTTGATAGGTTAACTATAGCTTATTATTTTAAGTTACAGAATTTTTATTTTACCAGAATAACTTAGATAAATGACAACAAAATGGGTTAAAAAATTATGTACAACAAATTTTTGTGGAAACAATTATCACAGAAGTGAGTACAAAACTAATATTCTATTTTATACATACTTAATTTTTTGTATTTTGGTCTTTTTGAGTTAAAAAAAAAATTGTTTTTAATTGTGTCTAATAAGGCACTATGTGAACTCTTATTTAGTAAAAATTGATTCATTGCATATTATATAAGCACTACAAGCAAAACTACAAAAAAAAACTAGTATTCTTAAAATATTTTGATATACTTTCATTGTGAATAGTGCTCACTGGAGTATTTTTTTTAACAATATTTAACTACAGATGTCTTTTAGATTTTTAGTTAAACTGTTGAATTGACCATTGTTAAGTCTTAACTAATTAAAAAAAACATTTAATTTTTGTTTTGAATGAATATTAGTTTTTTTAATTACAATTGTAGTTTAGAACTCGTTGTAATGGAATTTCATTTATACTTCAAGAGACAATATTACTCTATCTATAAATTATATGTTCTACCATATCATTGCACAAGTCAGTGCAATATTTAATTTGTACAAGATAAAAATATGTCACACTTTATGGCATGAAAAAGTCATGAGCAGATATTGATGTAACGACTTTCATGATAAGCCTGTTGCTCGGTTGTGGTAAAAAATAAATGATCATCCAAAATTGTTGGAAATATACAAATTATTTTTGTCTGATTGAAAGTACTAAAACAATATGTACTTAATTAATTAAAATGTTTTTAGGGGTCATTCATTGTGTACATGAATGCTCCATCGTTCTTCATTGCTGCCATAATTTCACTGATGTAAGAAGCGACGTCTACGCTTTCTGCATCACTACGCTTAATAAATGGGTGTTCCAGTAATTTGTTATACTTGGGCCTTTGGTTTTCTTCTTTAATCAAACTAAAAATAGAATAAGTTAATCAAAATTGTAAAATTATGTTTTAAACATATAATTTTGTACTTAGAAGCCAAAAAATGTATTTATTTCTACAATAAAATTACAACAAAATTGGTGCATTTGTCATGAATAATAAAAAAAATCATTTGTTTTCTTTATTAATTTAATTGGTAAACGATTTGCCGGCTCAACTCTCTCTGTTACCATGCGTACATATTTGAATATTTCTAATTTTGCACTTAATTGTTTGGCTTTTGTGTAAAAATTATATTAGCATGAAACATGCTTTAGCCTTGGCTCCCCAGCCCGAAAACGACACTAAATTGCGATACTAAAGTAGCGCGCCTACTTTAAACGTATAATAACATATAAGATGCCATCGAAATAATAATCAGTAGTCGTCATTATGTAAACATCATCATAAATCTCAAGGAAATTAAAGATCAGAAATAATCACTATTCAGGATCCACCAGGCTAAAGCATGTTCCATGTTTCATCATTTTAGCCGTTAGGTTTTGAGTAAACTTTTTACCATGTATTAACGAAATTGATAAAATGCGGAGAAAAATTATTAGAAGAAGAATGTAATCGTGGTGGATCTCCTTGTACGACTTGGCAAAGTTGTTCAAAAACTGAACTCCATCTTGGGTAGGGAAAGCGACCAGTTGCTACTTCTACCAAAGTGATACCCAACGACCAAACATCAGATCGAACATCATAACCGCCTCTACCACGTACTGGATCGATTCTTTCAGGCTATAAGATAAACAACACGTAACTTACATTTTTAAGTATTTAATTATCACATTAATAAATAAATAAATAAATATATATATATATATCTTACAGCCATATAAGGACGACACCCAGCATCTCTAGTTTTAGCAATAGAATCTACTAACTGTCCAGAAATGCCAAAATCGCATAATTTTATATTTCCTCGAGAATCCAATAAAATGTTGCTAGGCTTGACATCACGATGTATGATTTTTAATTTTTCTTTCAAATAATTTAACGCTTTTACGGTCTGAAAGTCAAATGAGTAATATACATTTTATTAGGTACACAATTGTTACATTATAATTATTATTATTGTAATAATTTACCGCAACAGTTATTTTCCCCAATATATTTTCAGGTATTTGTTGATTGAGTTTTTCATAAATATATTTGTAAAATTTATCCAAAGAAGTGTCCATTAATTCCATACAAATCCAGCAATCACCCTACAATGAATAAAACATTAAATATTATTTTAAAATAAAGTCTATAGAACAATTACTTCTTTAAAAAGAGCTCCATAAAATTGTACAATATACGGACATTCGTTTGACTTCATAACAACATCTAAATCCATTAATAGTTGTTTTTGTTCATTTTCATCAACAGTAGACCTAATCCTCTGTTAAAAAACGGAAAAATATAATTTTTTGTTAATCATATTCTGATTTTAATTAAATTACCTTAACGGCCATAACAGTATCACTACTTCTATGTAGCATTTTGTTCACAGTGCCAAAACCACCTCGTCCAATTTCGCCTAAATCTTGTAGATCGTCTGATGTAAAATCATACACCTTCAACATAAAGAATTTTACAAATAAAAAAGGTGGTTAATGTTGGATAAGTAATTTTTTTATGGGGATGCTATTAATTATAATAATTAATCCAAACTACCTTATTTTCAGATAGTTGTAATTTTCCAGTTGATTGTATAGTTTGGCATATTTTAAGTCTTTCTCTAAAATAAATCAAATTAAAAAATAAATATAAAAAAAAATTAGGAGATTATGATTAAAATTAATTCACTCATTCAATATCTAATTCAAAAGACAATACAAATATTATGATCACTCTAGATAATGTATAATATACAAAATATTATAAATAATAAGTATATTTGAGAGGTAAAAGATTTGACAGAACAGTTTTTGAGTAATTTAGACACAAATTCTTATAATGTATTCTCCTTTCCATTACCATTTAAATTGTGTAATTACTAATTAGTCACAAATACGTTCAAGTTTTACATTTTTGGTTAATATATTAATTATATTTTAAATGAAGTAAAAAAAAAAAAAAAACGTTAAATGAGTTTGATGTTTTATTTTAAATGAAATCTTATTTTTGAATCTTGTTAACCGACAAAGGTCAAGACCTATAAAAAGTAAATTTAGTACAAATATATAATCGTAACATAGAACATTGTGTCCATAAACACAATTTTTTTCCCTTCAAAAATCAATCAAATTTAATTTGAAATATTTATGTCAATCTTGTGTAAAATGCACAATCAAATTCATATAAAATATTTTAGTTTCATACTATTGTTATGTGATTAATAATTTACCATTCCCGCACACATAACAATCATTTTATGACAAAACTTACCGCAACTTACTACGCTCAATGGACCTGAATCTGTGTACATAAAAAATTAAAACATTGGCTATAATGACTTGAGAATTTATAATAATATTAATTTTATTGAACTTCTAATGGTCACAACCACCGAATGCTTAAAAACTAATAACTTTGCAAATGATACATGTGCTAAATTCTAAATTTGATCAAAAAATAGTCAATACAAGTGTTTATGTTCAAGGTTAATTTGTAAATTATGAATTCAATAATGCTGTAGTCATGATGCTTACCTAGACTTTTCAGCGATTGGTTCAGGATGTGGCAGTCGTACTCTAGGCAAGCTTGGTTGTTTCGAAGTTGAGCCATTACACACGGTTCGACTATCTTCTTCACATCTATAACAACAATATAAACGCAATAGATTAAGTTTAATTTCTAGAATAGTATCACAAAATAATATTAATAATTTTGCAATATTTTTAATTAAAACAATATAAATTGATTTATAGTATTAATAAGGAAAAATGTACAGATCAAATAAAAAAAAAAAAACCAAAGAATAATTAAGAAGTATCAAACACTAGAAATACTGTTTTCATATTAATATTTTAGCTTCAATGCGGAGGTGAAAAGGTATGTTTCTACAATGATGTATTTTTATTTTTTTTATGACTGGATCAACAATATCTTCTAAACTGCTGAACCGATTTCTTTGTGTAGCAACTCTATGGAAAAGAAATCATACCAGAAAGATACTTCACTGGGGCAAACATTTAAAAGTTCACCCCTTTCCCTTCAAAAACGTTAAAACACCAAAAAGTTTACATATTTTTGAACTTACAACTACGGCCCGCTGTTGCTTTTTAGAAAATAGTTAAATTAGTTCTAAATTTATAAAATTGTATATAGTACTACCGAAAAACGTTGACAAACAAAAAAAATTTCATAAACCCTTTAGCCTAAAAGGGATAGAAACTTTTCTTTACTTCACCTTTTTAGATGTAATTTTAGGGTTTAGGGTCTGAAAATTAGACCGTAGGTAGATCTAAAACGGGGCTATAATCTATCCTATTTTCTTGAAACTGTAGTCAAATTTTTTTTTATTAAGGAAAAATTACACAATGACCGTAGTTGATTATTTTTAGGTTGCTATGTGTTGATGAATCAACAGACAACAGGTATTTGAAAATATTTTCATTATATTGATAATTTCGATATATGAGTAACTATGGCAATAAATTATTAAAGACAAATGATCAATTCTAAACGTATCCACCCTAATAATAAAAATACATTTTTAAGCATATTATTGTCAATACACAATACATCAAATACAGTTAACAAATAATAAGAATTACATTTAACACATTGCTTTGTGTTGTCATTAAGAGTTATACAGTTTATAGTACTAGCTTTTTTGTATTTTATATTGATTGTCCATTCTACATATATTTTAACAATGTAAAATAGAATGCAAAATATAAATTTAAAAAAATGTTATAAGTTTGTTAATTCTACTCGCTACTGAATTGACCAGATACCGTATAAATATTTGAAAACATAACAAAAATGTAATGAATATAAAATGGGCGTAGTCCTCCTTTACATAAAATTTATAGTTATGTTTTAGAATTTGAATTGATTACGTTACTTTAATGATTGTAAGCTGGGTATAGGCGAACTGAATCCAAACGAGGAACCCGACGACCCTTGTATGGCGAGTTTTAACTGTCTTCGTTTTTCTTTTGGACAAAACAAAAATATTAAAAATCGAGTAAGAAGAATTGAAATGTAGCACTAGATTTTACCTGCTACGGCTGCATCTTGTCGCATGTCTAACTGAGGGATCGAAGGCCTCGCAGCACCTAAATACATAGAGATATCAAAACGACAATAGTCGCGAATTTCATGTGTCGTCCTGTGCGTCATACAAGCCACCCAAAACTCGTAACGAACCAAACCGTCAACTTGTTACTTACCAGAGGACGAACTCCCGTTATTGTCATTGTTGGACATTTTTGTTTAGTTAACTTATCGCTTACGCACATGGGCTTATGTGTTTGAATAGAAAATTACTTGTTAGACACACTCACTGTCGTGTATTATACACACTTGGACACCAAGTACTCGGTTATTAACGCTGTATTCATCAGTCAGTCACTGCCTTCAAATGTCAAGCGTACACGACAAGAGGATTGTATTAGCTGATAACAATGTTGATAAAAAAAAAAAAAAGAGTTCAGCGTTCAGCTAATGAATTAATGTGGCATAGCATTGGGTACACTGAACGTTATCAAAAATTGCAATATTTTGTGTATTTTTTCATTTCTATTTGCTGATAACATTATACACATTTATTAAAATTGTATATACGTGCCAATGAAATAAGAAAAAAAAAAATGTTTTCGAAGACATTAAAAACTTTTTTTTTATACACGAATCCTAGGCTGTAGACAATTATATTATGTATATATGTATATATTTAAATAAATAATAACCGCGAATGATAAGCCGAGTGCCCACGAAATTAATATTTACCCATTCAATCTTAAAGTAGTATACGTATTTCGTTTACATTATTTTATTTTTAGTACATGTATTATGTTATCTAGTATAATTTGTTGTTATAATCCTTGTAAATTTACAACATTGTTAATATTAATTTTATACACGTCTAGTCATGTAGACAATGCTAGTTATTGACTTATTGGATTATAATGTCAAACGCAGAAGAACATTATGTAAGAGGAGATTACAAGTGTATAAGTTGCGAAAATTAAATGATCTTTGTCATTTTTGTGTTTTAGTTACAAATTGAAGAAAATGGTGTAAACGTCGCTAAGAACCGCTCGAACATGTTGAAAGAACTCCGTCAATCTTTGAGTACAACTCATGCCTGTCGAATTTCAAATTCCACTATTCGATTTCAAACTCATTTCATTATTATTGTCCTACTGGTCGGCATTCTTTTTCTGGCGACGCTCTACAATATTGGACGTTCAGCTCCTAAACTCGTCAGTTATGGTTTAAGCCGTCCGGCCGAGCATTTTATGTTAAAAGAAATTAAATCCAAGTATCCATTAACATCGCCTATATTTATAGACAATGTCGGTTTAAAATATCGTATAGCTATGATTAGTGATCTGGACAAAGCTTCCAAAAGCCCTAACGAGAATAATATGTGGCATAGTTTTTATAAAAAAGGATACCTTACGTGGTATGCAAATAACAGCACAATTGATATAAATTGGGATAATGATGAACCAACCCTTTTAAAATCGTCCATATCAATGGGTGGTCGAGGAATGGAACTCTCTGAACTAGTAACATTCAATAATAAAATATATACATTCGATGATCGAACTGGAATAGTTTATAATATTGGCGAGGATGATTCAATTCTACCTTGGATAATACTCATGGATGGAAACGGAAATCATTTTAAAGGTAATATTATTAATTAATTGACATTTCTGAATTCCTGAAAAAGGGGAATAAAAACAGCAACATTTCATTCAAATAAAGCTAAAAATGCAGTTTCCATAATCTTTATCCAATTAAAACAAATATATATTGTTTACTGTAAAGCTTAATAACCATATCATTTTCTAATAAAAAATGAATAAATGAGTCTTTTGCTACCATAGAAAGATATGCAAGCTTTTCAATAAAAAAAAATTGTTGAAATTTGTTCAATAGATGAAAAAGTAACAAAATTATTTCTCCTATCAAATATTCATCATACTTCATCTAATATTCAGCACTTTAAAAAAAAACAATCCTAGTTCAAATTATTTTTATTTGTCTGCATCAATATGCATTCACGAAAGTGATTTTAATTTTGTTAAAATTAATATTGTAACTTCAATGCGAAGCCAAGAAGGTATCAGTTTTATAATTTTGTGATGTTTTTTTTTCTTACTCAGGTTATAAAAGTGAATGGGCAACTGAACACAACTCTGATTTATACGTTGGAAGTATGGGCAAAGAATGGACGTCGTCAAAAGGCGATTACATCAACAATAACCCGATGTGGATCAAAATTATCAATAAGTTTGGACAAGTAACTCACGTCAACTGGACTGAAAATTATGTTGCACTAAGAAAAGCAGTGAATATATACTATCCAGGGTACATGATACACGAGTCATGTGTATGGAGCGAAGTGCATAAGAGATGGTTTTTTCTACCGAGACGGAGTTCTGCACACCAATATAATGAGGAGACTGATGAGCATATGGCCACAAATTTTTTACTGTCAGCAAATGATAATTTTAGTGTTATTAAAGTAAACATTTCTAAGACGTTTAAACCAAAATTTTTAATTTTCAAATAAAACATCAATTAATTATTATAGGTAGTCACTGTTGGCGAAAGAGTTCCAACCCACGGATTTTCCAGTTTCAAGTTTTTACCCGGAACCCATGATAGAATAATTGTAGCTATTAAATCGGAAGAGCTCGGTTCTAAAACTGCTACTTATATAACGGCCTTCAATATTGACGGGACAATTATATTACCAGAAATGAAAGTAGCTAATCATAAGTATGAAGGTTTTGAATTCATATGACCCACATCAAAACAACTGTATTACTTTTGTTATCAAAATATTAAAAACATTGTTAAATTATTAACATACCATTTATTTATTAATTATAATTTATTATACATATTGTTTAAGTTTTTCTACAAGTGACAATAGTTCATCTTGAGAGAATTCTAAGAAAATATTTTCTGATATTTTCGGGTTTAGTACATTGTTAGCCATTGGACCATCCTTCAAATGTAGTACTACTTGCAGTAAAGGTTCTTCTAGTGTACTTAATGAACTGCTACCCATAATATACTAAAAAAAAAACTTGAGTAAATTGATTTAAATAATAAAAACTAACTAAGATTGCAAATCCAATTATATATATTATATATAGTTATTGTTGTTGGAATTTTGTTTAATATTAACATGTATTAAGCAATTTGATTATCATTGCAATATTTTCTATAAATTATAAATTATTTGTTTTCAAAAAGGTTACACTGTATTAAGTTACACAATTTTTTTTTAATGAACAACTACGGTGTTTAATATTTTATACTAACAAAAAAGAAAAAATTTGAACCCTATCAATTTGGCTTATACTGAACTGAATGTTGACTTAATTATTATATTACACTATTATAAACTATTTGATTAAAAAACATTTTTATTTGACCCTTTAAAAATACCAGGTATTTTAAATACACATTTATTCGATTTTATTTAAACCATATTTTTTATTTTAGATATTATTTTTTTTTTTTTATATTCGCTCAAATAAATATTTATTTATAAATAATGCTCAGGTTTGCCTAAAATTATATTAAATAATTTTCTTTCTTAGTGTATTGTAGGTCATAATAGAATTTATTTTTGTTTTGAAATAAAACTTCAGTTTTTATTTTTGTAAACTTAATTATTAAAAAGAATTATCTAGATTTTAGTTCAAATGATAAAAAGGGTTCTCCCTTAGTATTCACTAAAAATTAAAATTCTATAGGTAATATTATATAATATATTCTAGAAACTATAGAGACCTATATAAAAGAATTTCAACATTTAATTAGGACAATACAATTTGCAGTTATAAACCACATGCAAAATTGGGTGTTTATTAAAAAGTCTAAAAATATGATGGTATTAGTACAAATAAAACTACCTTCCTGTTGATTGTTTAACATTTATAAATATTGATTATCGTTAAATTACTACTGTGGCTCAGTGAATACCAAAATACTTCGTAATTGACTATTACCAATATAAATCGGTCATGTTATTTCTCATCGATTTGATGAAAAACATCAAAACAATATTTATTGGATTTTTTGCAATAAGTTGAATATTACAAATTATTAATATTATACAAATTTGGTATAATATACACCTAACAAATTATTGTTTGTTACATCAAGAGTATACGAGTATGAACTCGCTCTTTGTACATAAATTAAAATTAAATACCCAAGTTAAAATAACTAAATGAATAATTTTAAATTATCATAATTATTACTGTATCGTGTTATATTTAGAATTAATTTATTACTATTATTTAATACTATATAATACATAAAGTCAACAATAACGAGTTAGTTCTTAAGTTTATCTATTTCTTTTTTTTCGTCATGTCTTCCAACGATTCTATTCTAGCTTTAGGTATTAAATTTAACAACTCGTTGACATCAGTCTTAAAATCATCGTCTGCCCAATACTCAACGAGTTTGTTCATAATATGTCCTACTGCTCGCCCATTAATTTCTTTATTTTTGACCATTTTCCCAGACACGGGAAATTTTGGAGGTGTCCATTTCTCAAACTCGTCCAATATTGTTCTTTCATTACAATATTTTAGCAATTGCTCGATGTATTCTTTTATTACATTTTGCTTGCTTGCATTTTGTATCATTTTTATTTTGTACTTTTTAACAGATTCTGGGTTCCAATTGTCATTTCTACTTTCTATTAAAAACAATCCCAACTCCCTATCGAACACGCGAAATTTCAATCTGTTATTAAGCGTTATCATGTCTTGAGGTTCTTTTAAAAGAGCAGTTAACATTGTGATTGGATGCAATTTAAGGCCTTTAGCTCTACTGGTGATCTTGTTAAATTCGTCAATATCAACACGATTAGGAAGTCCAATAAATGGTCCAAGATCTAAATTCAAGATCACCATCATAAGTTCTGGTCCAAAATTTCCTTCTAATATCTTACTGAGTTCTGACCAAATACGTTCTCCCGATATTTGTTCCAAGCCCTTCCCCTTTTCACGTATAGCCTCAAGAATATCATTATCGTGATCATTAGGAGCGTTGGCTAACCGACCGTAAAACCTAAAGTAGCGCAAGATTCTTAAATAATCTTCAGATATTCGTTTATTAGCGTCTCCGACAAATTTAATATGTCGTTTCTTTAGGTCTTCATATCCGTTGAAGTAATCATATAGAGTGCCGTCCATTCCCAAAAACATTGAATTTACAGTTAGGTCTCTACGTTCGGCGTCCAAAGCCCAGTCCTTGGTAAATTCGACGTCAGCGTGTCGTCCGTCTGTTACTACATCTATCCTCAGTGTCGTTACCTCAAAGCTTAGGCCATTGATATGAGACGTTACTGTACCGTGTTTTAATCCGCCTTTGTTGACAAGTCGTATGTTTTCTTTCTCCAACATTTCCACCATTTCATTGGGTGTAGCAATAGTTGCAAAATCCAAATCGGTCGGTGTTTGTCCTAGTAATATGTCACGTACAGCTCCTCCGCACAATCTGATTTCATACTTGTATTTTTCGAAAACTTGTAACAGCTGCGTAAGTTCGGGTGAAAAGATGAATCCATATTGTGTATTTTCCAGCTTCATAACTCTTGGAACCGCTCGAGACTTAAAATTGAATAATGAGTTTACAGTTGAAGAGCTCAACGAACGGACGATTGATTGCGAAAGTATTAATGACCGTCGAAATAAAATTTGCATAATAAACTCGAAGAAGAATTAACTAATTATTACACATAAGACATACGTTTGAAAATCCAATTACCTTTAATTTCCAGTCAAAATCCACTAAGTGTTTATCCATGATCGCATAGCTAAAATATATTTTTTACTGTTAGATGATTCAAATTTAAAGTGTAAAACTAATGTTCACAACATTAACAAAAATTAAATTTACAAAGTACAAATTATCAATATTTTGCATTATGCAATCATTTTTAACGTGCGTGAAGCTAGCATTAAATATTAATATATTATCTTTGATAACAATAATAGTTATCGCGTTTGTGTATGTTCTGTTGCTAGTCCGGTAATATTCCAAGGGGCCAAACAGACAATAATTCAACGAAATCAAACAACATCAAATTATTTTAGCCAAATATTAAACTTATTGGAGGGGAGAGAGTTGCTAACCATCCTTAGTTCTCATATTAACAACCCACATTGAATTTAGAGAAAATCAGATCTGCATTAGTACAATAATTGTACAATGTTTATTTTTGTCATCCGTTTCTTAGTATGTTATTTTTTTAAAGCTTAAAAGAAGATTCCATACAGGTTACCGTAGATTTCTTAGTTAAAAGACATTTATAGTATCTATAGTCATTAGTCAACATTTGTTTATATGTAGAGAAACCAAAAATCAAATACGGTCATTGTTTGCCTATACCTATCCTATTTTATAAAAATACAATACCGGGTGATTATTTTATTTCCCTACAATAGTTTACTCTTAAAATAGTTGGTATTTTGTAGTTTTTCTTGTTTATGTTATATTATAATATTAGCCAATAATCAATCTTTTATTATTTTTAGTATTTTCTAAAGCGTTATCAACTTTTGAAATTTAAATGGTTACATGTATATTAATTTAATTTAATTTTTAAATTGAGAATTAAAAAGTTGAAAAAGCTCTACAAATATAAAAAAAATATAAACATTTAATATTTCTTGATAATGTAATATAGCAAAAACAAAAAATGTGTAAGATTTTTATAATTTAAAGAGAAATCTGATGTAGGGCGTTAAAATAATATCCTTACACACAAAACGATGTGACGATCGGTATTTAAATTACACTCAAGAGAGAAATTTCTTGAGTGTACACTGTATATTGTTTACTTAAGGGGATTGCATGCGGTCGGTTTTCTTAGTCAAAACACATCATTTTTATTCCATTGCACAGACCGATTCAGTGATCCGATAAGCAATCTAAAAACAGATTTAAATTCGCCATGAACTTTACTTATGATCGGTCAGGGTACTTTTTTCAATTTTCAATTTTAATCCTTTCCAAATTTGATTTTAAAATTTGAAATTTTATATAATGTTCAAACATGTTTTATACATAGTAGGAATAAGATATCAAAAATGTGTGTGCTACAGCTAAAAAAAAAAAAAAACTCATTCGTTTTAAGTACATTGTATTAACATTTTGTTTTAACCCCTGTTCTTTTTTAAAAAGTTATTTAGGATAAAAATTGTTTGCGCTTTAGTTGATAATTTGAGACTTAAATCGTGTATTTCAATATAATTAATAGTACAGACCAGTACAGACCAGTGGGGTCGGGGCTTAGTGGGAACGGGGAGGTCACAGGTTTACAGGAATTTTTAAATCTGAAAGTGATAAAATCACTTACGAAAAAACGCTTGGATGCAAGTCGGTAGTTAGTATTTTCAAGCCAGTACAATCCAAACCAAGCACAGTGTAGGCCAGCAAAGTTAGAAAGTATTAAATTGAATCGGTCATTTCAAAAACGATTAAGGTCACCGATTTTTCAAAAATGTCTTTTTGACAAATTTAATAATTGTATACTTAGTTACGTATTCTGTGTGAAAACAAAATTTGTCAGACTCATATTTAATACAAATGTTGAGTACAAGAAATTAGAATCACCACTTTAGAAAAGTATTGATAAAGCCATTTAAGATTTTTTAAAAGGTTTTTTAATGTGAATATAAAAATAATATAGTAACATTATTCATGACCGGATGTAGACATTTTTAGGTGCCATAAGACCAATTGTAGGAATATGGATAAAAATAAAATACAATACAGAAAAAATAATCAATGTTTTCATAATAATTTATAGTTTTTTTATTATTACATAAATAATAATTTTGTGTATTATATACGTATTAAAAATGTTCTCATTTCTGTAATTCTGCCTAAAGGTATACAACACATTTATGTCTATATCGATTGTGTTTTTTATAATAAAACTTTAAGGTCTTTTATATACTAACGCATTTAATAGTTAGAAAAATATGTTCACATCTATAACCATGGGACCTTTTTGATGTGTATTATTTGAGTACATCGGTGTTTTCATACTGATAAGAATTTAAGGTAAGTAAGACAAAAAAAAAAAAATATTACTAACTGTGTGTTATTTATCGTTTTTATAATACACTTCGCATTTCATACGACGAAAATTCAGAGCATAAAATAAAACCTTACACATTATGGAAACGTTTGGTAACCCAAATTTGGGCCTCTGGTTAAAGAAATCTGTACAAGTTAGAAAATAATCGTTCCACTCGTTAAAATGTTTCAAAAAATCAAAGCCAATAGAGTTAGTTTGAAGAATAGTGGGGAAGGGAGGTCACAAGTATCAGAAATTATTATAACTGAAAGTGATAAAATAATTTTTAAATAAACACTTCAATGGACTATCGGTTCAAACCGGTACAGTCGAAACTAAGCATAGTAAGAAAATATCATATATTAGTAAGTGAGTAGTAGTAAGTAGTAGTAGTATGTGAGTAAGTAAGAGAGGTTCACATATAAAAATACAAATATCCAGAAATAAATTATACCTAATGGCAATTATTTGCTTAAAAACTAATTTTTAGTTTAAGGGTTGATCATCTGTCTATATAAATGTATTTCTATAGGAACCCACATATCGTTGTTAAAAATATAATAAAATATTTCCATTGCCTGTTTACTCACTCACAATATAGCAAATGTGTGAGTAGTCATGGAAATTGACTACGGTCAAAGTGTAATTTCTCCATTATTTTGGGATTTTCCTTAATAACGAAAAAGTTTGATCACAGATTTTTATTAAAAAATGTTATATGTTATAGTTCCACTCTAGATAACAATATACCTTCGGTCTAATTATCCCGACCTAAATGTCTAAAATTTTGTTTCGAAAAGTGAAATAAAGAAAAAAAATTTATATTTTTTATTGGAAACGGTTTAAATTCCACACAAATTTGGAATCAATTCGACTATATTTTAAGAAGAACGCCAAAATTACTAAATTGCATAAAAAAAAAAATTTAGTCGCCATTAAAATATGAAAAATAATACAATAATATTATTTTCTTAATTGGACACTGCCGTTTGATGGAATAAAAATAAACTAATACTTAATAACTGTTCTATATATCCCTTGTAGTGGTCGTATTGTTTTAACATTTTTATGGAATTAAAACAAAATATATTTTGTATGACGCACATCATCGGTTTTGTTTTATGTTTTAGCTAAATAAGTTTATATTTAAGTAAATAAATCGTCAATAAGTCGGGTTGGCCATGTATTTCTTAAGACCTCAAATTTTTTATCGTCTTTTAAACGTGTAAAAAACGATTCCTATATTTTCATTTATGTAAACAGTGGAAATGGAAACGCACACCAAATCACCCAAGTGTTTTTCTGAAGTAAAAAAATTGTGTTTTTGAGTTAACGTTTAGGAGAGAATTCGATAAATATTACTTCCATAGAAAATTACATTTTTAAATCTTTGTTTACTTTTGAAACTCACGTGCCAATGTGCGAAATTATACAAAACCCTCACTCTCTAACAATTAAAATAATTTATACACCTACGTCATTGTCTTATCATTAATGACTTATTGGTCATAAATATATATATAAATATACAGGATGATACATTAAAAATAGGTCGCTTATTTTTCCTTAGAATAATCGCAAATTTCTAGTATTTCTTTTTTAGATATTAGTAGTATTTTTATATAGTATTTTTTTATCATATTTTACAATATTGTAAAACTACTAAACATTAACCTTTTTTTTATTATTTTCCATAACCCTATCAACTTTTAGAAATTTATATAGTAACGTATTTATTTAAATTACTATTTAAACTGAGAACAATATTCGATGCCCAAAAAGTAGTCAAAGAAAATGAATATGGACAAATAACGACTGAAAAGGCATAGTACTTTTCCTAAGGGTCTAAAAAGTTTCTTGAAGGTCGATTTTTAATTCTTAAATGGTAAAATATAAACTCGATTAACTTTTTAAACAAAAAATATTTTGTCGATATTTTAAAGCGATACCTAACAGTTGATATTTTGATTATATTTCGATACTAATTACTTAGAATAACTATAATTATCTTGGAAAACAGTGAAATTTTTATAAACAATCGGTGGCAATAGTTGACAGTTGTTATTAAACTATACTTTTGAAGAAAGACTCTTTTTTTGTTTGCAATACAGCTGCGATGGCTGACGTAACACAAAAAAAAAACTATACATACGTCTTGGGTCAAAATATATTTAACCGACAAATTGTAAAATGTTTGTACATTTTTTATGTAACAGTAAATCACATTAAAATCGTCTTTATCGTAATTTAATAGGTGAACAAAAAAAAAGAAAGAGAACAAGTAAAAAATTCTAAATTGTTGGAAAACATAGAAAACTGCTTCCAAAAATCCATTAGCGGTTCCATTTTCTTGAAATTTTCAAATGTATGTTTATCGTTCCTCTTGTACATCCTCGCTAGCTACATTATTATATTTAATTGCAACTTAAATCTAATGATAACTAACATAATACCGTCACGTCATTCGGGTAAAGGCAGAGGGGGCATTTGCCTTTCCTCCCTCATGTCCGGCCAGCCATGATGTTCAACCAAACTAACGTGGTATATTATATATGTGTGTCTGTATTGAATTTCTTCGTTTTTTCGGCGAAAAATTAATAATACTGCTACAGTTTTTTTATACTTAAGCATAATAAATCAAGACTGTCTCATTTCGATTTGATATAATAATTCTTAACCGGATGACACCCGTGAAATAATTAAAAACTGGCACATTTTGTGTTGTGGCAATAAATTAATTTAAAAAGAAAAACGAAATTGCCACATTTCTCATTACGGCTAATAAAATATTTGATTTGAAATGGTAAACTGCGCAAAAATCAAATTTGGCACTTAGGTCTGTTAGAAACCCATTGCTAAA